AGGGCATTAGTCTTGAGTGACGTTAATCTTGCATGTTGTTGACTGATATCACACCATTCTAATCTGAGATCACTCCAGAGTGCAAACAGAGACTGGTAAATGACACGGGATCAATGACCAGTTAAGGTGTGATTTCCAGAGGTATTGTAACAGTCTTGTGGAAGGAAGGAATGCCATGAACTGAAAGATATGTGACCCTGCACCACAAGTTTTTTGTTGAGCCCAGTAAATGTGTATTTGGTCAGCATTTCCTGAAAAAGTACACCTTATTTATATGTAATTTCAAAGTTTGGAAGCACGAAACAATTTCAACGCATTTGGTATTTTGGCAGTATTTTGTAAATCTTCATGTACGTTTTTCTGATATCTTAGTTGTAGTAGTTTTTATTTATTTACAACCATTGCTAAATCTCATTTGGATCTCCAGTAACTTTAAAACAGAATAAGGTATTACATTGATTCCTAAGAAGAATTAAAAAGAGGACGTACTTAATTAGCATGCCAAGTATTGAGGACAATCTGATTATCCCTTCATAGCAATTTCTATAGAGTTTTAACACCTTTTTCTCTAAAATAACTTTCTATGGGTCACTGGACATTCTTCTCTTTTCATGCCGCTGTTAGGAAGTAGCCAGAGGCATTATGTTTTCGGGTTGTCCATCTGTCCCATTCTAATGATCGCGTTATCTCAAGAACGGATCGATAGATTCCTGCCGAACTAGGGTCATGTATGTCTCTTGCAGAGCTAATGGGCCGTATGCATAAAAACAAGCAATTGCTTGTGCTAGCCTTTTGCTTGAATCGGTATGCACACAAACAAGCAATTGCTTATAAGCAAAAGCTTTTGCTTACAAGCACAAACAATTGCTTACTACTCGTAAGCAAATGCTTACCAAACAAGCAATTGCTTAAAACCGTATGCATAAAACAAACCTTTTACTTGTCTTGATAAGCAATTGCTTGCGTTTTTTCAAGCACCTCCGGACCACTTGAGCTCTTGCTTACTCAGGGCATTCTCGTTTAAGGATTAAATTTTCATACCGTTTCAAGCTCCATATTCCAGAGGTTATGTTGTGATTTCATATCTAATCAAATTCCTGTTATTTTAGACTTTTTACGGCAATTTTTGTCCATCGATCTACACAGAAACCCCCCTGATGCTCTGCGCTGTTTTCCCCCTATTTGCGTAATAAAAAAATACTGCTGCCAGGTCGGGCACGAAGCGTCAATGGGCCGTATGCATAAAAAGTAGCAATTGCTTGCAAGCAATTGCTTCAAGCACAAGCAATTGCTTGTCAAGCAAAAGATCAAGCTCAAGCAATTGCTTAAATCCGTATGCATAACATTTTGCTTGTGCTCAAACCTTTTGCTTGCCTCCAGCAAGCAATTGCTTACGATCTCAACAATAGCGACGTCACGCCGGTGCGAACATCATTCATGGGAGAACAAAGGCGGGTTTCGCATACTAGTAGTGTATTCAAATGTCATGCGTGTGGGGTAGCCTTTCCTGACATGGCAGTATAACATTCCAGGATGACATATTTCAGAACAAAATGAAAAAAACACCGATACATGCACACATGATTTATTATACTCCTGTACAACTTTGGTTATTCTCTAACGAGCATAAACATGATGCTTAACCGCGAACGTCCCGATTAAGCAAGAGCTCAAGCTGCTATGACGGAGCTTGAAAAAACGTAAGCAATTGCTTATAAGAACAAGCAAAAGGTTCGTTTTATGCATACGTTTTTAAGCAATTGCTTGCGGACATCAAGCAATTGCTTGTGCTTGCTAGCAAAAGCATTTGCTTGCAAGCAATTGCTTATGTTTATGCATACGGATTCAAGTAAAAGGCTAGCACAAGCAATTGCTACTTTTTATGCATACGGCCCATCGTCCTACTGCGCGATGTTCGCACAACCGTAACGATCCTTTGTCCAACACATAAGCAATTGCTTAGGCAGTGCAAGCAAAAGGTTTCAGCACAAGCAAAAGCTTGTGCATACGAATTTAAGCAATTGCTTGAACTTGCCCTTTTGCTTTACCAGCTTTTGCTTTTGCTTAAAGCATTTGCTTATAAGCAATTGCTTGTCTTTATGCATACGGCCCAATGAACTGTTCATTAATGCCCGTTTGACTAACAATAGGACGCTATTCACTTTTCTTGGGAAGGGAAGCACAAACGGGGAATAAACGGAAGAAATTGCTTGGCTCGATGAAATCTGTCGATCAATGTGTCTTGAAAATGTGTGCATTAAAGAGGAAGCAACATTTCACCCGAGGTAGGTCAGGGCCCTGTTTCATTAAACTTGTTATTAAAAAACATCTGCCACAGATCTGTGACAAATATACTCATAGTCATTCAGTCAAAAGCAAGGATTTCAATAGCTTTTTAAACAATCATTGCATCTTGTTATTGATAACCAGTTTTATGAAACGGGGTCAAGATATTCAGGGGCATCCATAGTTTGCCTCTCTACACCCTGGAGGTGTTTCACAAAGATCCTAAGTCGAACTTAACTCCAAGTTGGACTTTACAATTAAGGAAAACCGTTAGCATCTTCGAAAATATTTTGTAAAAGTTATTTTAAAAGGCATACAATATCTATTTAAATCATTCATAATTTCTATTATCAAGAAAATTTCATGTTCTTGATGTGGAATTAATGAAAAGTCTAAAATACTTGAATTTATGTTTTTGAATATGTTTAATTTTAATGCTACCAATGGCTCTCCATAATGTTCAAGTCCAACTTAGAGTTAAGTGTGAATTATGATTTTTGTGAAAAAAAACCCTGGTGCGGTAGATGGTCAGCAAGACTTGTACACAATGGAATTCCTTAAAATGCTAGATCACTGCAATTGCAACAGTGGTAAAGGACATATAATTTAAATCACATTTATTCATCAATTCCTCAGTTTTGTTGTAAATCATTGCATTCTTGCCACCTTGATAAACTACGTACACACAGTATTTATTTTTGTTAAAGAGATTATTTTTAGTACAAATTCTTGACCATCACTTGTAATTCTAAATTACTTATGCTCTTTTGCAACAACCCTTACTGTGTTGTTGTGTTATGTACAAGTGAATATGAGAATAATTCTGTACAATAAAGATTTTCCTTGAAAATGTATTTTTCTCGACATTGTTGTGTTATTCAAGTTGTAAAGCTACATGTACATTAATCTTGAGGTCTGGGTGTGGGTATCGTATGTCAAGAGAAAATGGCTATAATTCATTCTTATTGTTTATCCTGCAGTAGATTGATCGTTTTAACCAGTAACTTGAATAAAAGTAACCTCACAAAAATTTGATGTTAATTATCTTTTTAAAAAACCCACAATGCTCATTTGCACATAAGGACCTGTGTTAAGCACATGGTGTTAGGCCTACATACCCGGATTTCCTCATCTTAAGCACTTGGTGTCGAGCTTTCCTTATCTTTCAAAGCTCATTACTCAGCCACTATACATTTCCTACCAAAAACGTTTGGCGCATGCCACTTATTTATCTTTGACATTTAGTGTAAGTTTTCTTGGGATTCTGTGGGATTTATTTTCAATCATTACCACTACTTTTGTTTAAAAAAAAACGCCCCCCCCCCTCCCCATCTCTCTCTCTCTCTCTCTCTCTCTCTTTTCCTCTATTGAATTTTCGCTCTCTCTCCCACGCTCTCTCTGTCTCTCCCCCATCTGTTTCTCTCTCACTCTTTCCTCCTACCTCTTAATACCATGCTGATGCATTTAGTCTACCTTTCTCTCAAGTTCTCTAAATTTATTGTTCGACTTTCTTCGTTGTGAATTGAACAGAGACTTAAATTGATGCTAATAGTATAAAATAAACAATTTATTGCATATCACAAGAAAAGCGTCCCTATAAATCGATGTGAATACAATTTGCAAGCATTTATGTGTTCAGTGAGATATCCGCTTTGTTTTGAATGCAATTATAATATGTATTGATTATATCATACAACCTCTAGAATTACCATTTTAATCCCTATGAGACCGGGGTATTTGAGATCTTTCTACGGCCGGTGAAGTGTATATAACACTATAGTAATTTTTATTTTGAGAAAAAATCACTCATTTCCATATTTATGGTAATATATGCAAACAAGGTCATAATATTCACGCATTTACACATGAATCATATCTTCTTCATATTTAAACAATAATTTTTCTGCATACATTCTTTACACCATTTGGAATAATATTATAACAATTTTTTTTTTTTTTTTTTGGGGGGGGGGGGGGAGGGGATAATTTCGTATGTCTTTATATTAAAGGGCAAGCCAACCCTTGTAATAAGTTGATTCGTATGAAAGCAGAAAAATAACAGAAACAGAATAGCAAAAGTTTGCAATGAATCAGACCAATACTAGGGAAGTAAGGAATGTTTGAAATGTGACATCACTAAGCCTATGCGAATGACAAATTGGTAATTCGGCCAGTAGATATGACGCAGGACTTGGATAACTCTACAATTTTCGTGCACACAAATATCATTAATTTCTGTTTTTTCTCCCTTGGGCCACTACTCAAAATTTATTATAGATAACATATGAGTAAAAGTCCTCTAAAATGAAGAGACCATCCTGTGTAATACATTTTCACATTTTAGTAATTTTATATGTTAGAACAGATGGGAAAGTAGTCAAGCACTACATCACATTTACATTACCGCCTCAGCCAATTCGAAGTGCCCATACGTAACGTAAAGTGATTACTTTACAACAAAAAAGATCATAATTTTCGTATATTTAGTCATATTTAATTTTTAACTTTCATCAGTTTGCTTCCCTGAATTGTCTGCTTTCTTTTGGAGTAGTTGTCTGTAGGTTGGAATTCCCCTTAAAGTTTTTCTGTTTACAAAGAGTTCTTAAAACTGGAATAAGGGTAGTGTTGGGTAGTGTTGCTGCCCCCCCCCCCCCCCTCCATCTCTCTCTCTCTCACACACACACACATTATGTTATCCGTCCTATTTGTATCTCTCAACCCACGGTCTGCTCGCTATTTATAAGGACCGCTATTTATAAAAGATTGCTATTCATTCAGTCCCGCGTTATGGATAGCGGTCCTTATGAATAGCGGTCCTTATTGATAGCGAGCTTGACCCCTCCACTCTGACCCTCCCTTCCTCCCTCCCACCCCCTCACGGCTCACGTTCCCCTATATGGATAATTCAATAGCGTCCTCATACAGTGCTATTAACAGAATAATCCCAATTCCCGCCAAGAATCCAATATTCTGCAGAATAGCCACGGTGACCTTGTTGCTTTTTCCGTCGTATTGGTGTAGCATCGGAAGCTGAAAAGGATAAGAAAAAGGGATACTTTCTGTTATACGATGGAACCTTCTTATAAGAAGCAATGATGAAACCGGGGATCTGCTATAACAAGGTGATTTTGCTGGTCCCATCGCTTTATACATAATTATATTTGTGTTTAACCCTGATATCAAATTTGCGAAAAATATAAACATATCTTTGAGACGATTCGGTAAGTTCATCGGGACAACTTCGGGGACGTTCGTGCAGCTGCTTCTTACCATGTCGACGAGTCCAACGTAGAGAAACATGCCAGCGACAGCAGCGAAAATCCATTCCCGCGCCGTCTCGGTCTGTCCGAGCGGGATCCCGATCCACAAGCCGATGAATGCCGTACAAGCGCACATCATATTCATCAGGAGTGCCGTTCGGAGTCGCATGCCCTGCTTCATGAGTACGGCCAAATCACCTACAGGGAACAAATTAGAATAGAGTCGAACAATTCATTTTAAAGGCCGGCTGCAATAGATTGATAAGGAGGGATTAGACTACCCAGGTGGCTATCTCGTCAACTCAGCTCTCAATTAACAACAGAAAAAAGGAACACGGGGGACCAATGGTCACCGATTAGGCATTGTATATAGATAGAGGGAGCAAGTAGCTACTAGTAGTACAGTGTAGCATTAAAGTCACTGTACGCAAACATGTAATTGGACATCAATGGTATTTCGAGAGCTGCATACTATTCATGATCGGTGATTGGCAGGTCATTATCGTCATCACTTACATTAACCACATCACAATCATTTTCATCGTCACCATCATCACCATCATCATCAATAGGCCTGTTTATCATTTTCATCATCGTCATCATCGTCATCACCTTCACCATCAGCTAAATTACACTTATCATCTCGATCCTTCTCCTGCTCCCCATCATCAATTGTTAACACCATCGACGTCACCATCATCACCACCCCCCCCCACTATTTTTCACATTATCATTTAAGCTATTGTCCTTATTATCATAACCTTTTTAACTATCACAATCATTACCAACCCCTTTGCCATTATCGTAATCATCACCAGCATCGTCCTCTCCTTCACAATGAACATCATCGTTATCATCACCATCATAGTCATCATTATCATCATCCTAATCATCATCACCATCATCATCATTATCATCACCCCCTTCTTCACTGGAAAACGAGGTTTATATACCTAGTTCTTAATACTAATAATAATCTTTTAAAGTCCACTCCAAATTGTATTAAGTTAAACCGAAAATGGAAATTCTTTTTGCCCAAATGATCATGAGCCCGGCAGATCGACGTTGCTCTATTCCTTATTGTTGAACGCCAGATCGAGAACAGTTAAATACTTGTTGAGTCCAGCGGCGAAGCCACAACCACAACCACTATCATCATAATCATCATCAACATTATGATCATCATGGTCATCATCAAATTCGCCATTATAATCATCATTAAAATCACATTTTTATCATCCTCATTTTAGCTACCATCCTCACTATCGAAATTGTCAATACCATTAACACCATCATCATATTCATAATCATCATAATCATCATTATTAAAATCAACTTCATCACCATCATAATCATCATTATCACCACCACCACCACCACCACCACCACCACAACCAACATCAGCATCATCAATATCATCTCAACCACCATCATCAACATGCATCAATACTTGGTTCGTGCGGCAGTTCATGGCAAAAGACATTTGTACTTTTTGGAAGACCACTGGTGACACTAAGGGTGTTACCTTCTCCTCTCATCAATAATCACAACCACCATCATCATGAGCACTATTTCACCATCGTCATCATCTCAAACCCTATTTTTTCATCATCATCACCATGTCCTCCTTCTCCTTTTCCTCTTCATCATCACAACCAACATCATCATCAACACTATTTTAAGCATTATTTCACCATCGTCATCAACTCAACCCCATTATTTCATCATCATCACCATATCCTCCTTCTCCTCCTCGATCCTCCTCCTTTTCCTTCCCATCACCATCGTCACCACCAACATCACCATCAACATCACCATCATCATCACCATCATCACCATCATCACCATCATCAGTGGTAGACGAGGTTCGTTACCTAGTTCGTGCGGGAGCTCGTGGCAGAGGACAGCTATACTAGTTGAGAGTCCGGCAGCTAAGCTCAGTGAGAATGCTGCCCCTATCGCTAGACCGTCACCGAAGTTATGCAGCGAGTCGCCCAAGATTATCATCATTGCTACGGGGTTGCAACCTTGTAAGAAGAAGAAAAAAGAATCATAAACAGTCGAGAAAAAACACATTAATTAGACAAGGACTAAAAATAATGGTAGGCTCATAGTTATGAAATTCAATAACATTCGATTGAAACCAAAGGTATGGAGAGATGAATGATAAAAAACAAAATAATGTACCCATCTATTAAAAAAGGATACTTAAAACACCTAATAGTGTCAATGAACAGTCGAAATACAAATAACATCAGCACTAAAATCGCATCTTAGCCTTTATAGTGTGAATATAATTCTAGCCAAGATTATGGAGAGATGAGCAATACAAATATTTATTATACATTCTAACTAAAATATGATCAAATGATAACCTGAGAGTTTTTGTTTAGTATTAAAGAGTCTTTCATGATTCTCATAAACTACTACTACCACTACTAATACTACAACAACAACTACTACTACTACTTCTACTACTACTACTAATACTACTGCTGCTACTGCTGCTACTACTACTTGTACTACTACTACTACTACTACTACTACTACTACTACTGCTACTTCTACTACTACTACTACTACTACTACTACTACTACTACTACTACTACTACTACTACTGATACTACTACTACCTGTACTACTACTATTACAACCAATACTACTACTACTACTACTACTACTACTACTACTACTGCTACTTATAATAATAATAATAATAATAATAATAATAATGATAATAATGACAATAATAATATTAATAATACTCATACTACTCATACCACAACTACTACTACTACTACTACTACTACTACTACTACTACTACTACTATTACTACTACTACTAAACTTTACTATTTATACTACTACTACTACTACTACTACTACCACTAATAATAATAATTATTATTATTAGTATTATACTGTGATACTACTACTGCTACTACAACCACCACCACCACCATCATTAGTGGCTTCAGGATTTGCGTGACGCAATTCAAAACTTACCCCTTACACAGCAATCAGTATCTTCGATCGGGAGAGGTAGTTCAGTTTCAAATGCCTTTGCCTCATTAGCTGTCTATGAATGAGAAGAAAATGATACGATAAACTTTGGTATATTACGAAAAACCGCACCGTTACTATGTGGAGCTGCTAAAAAACCGTATGAGGACCAAGGGTGTCGATTTGTATCCGTGGGTGGGGGGGATGATAGGTGAAAAAATATTTTCGGCAATAGACCAAAGCAACCAAGAGGTAGAAGCGTGTGGCAGGTTGCACCCCCCCCCCCCTCCGAGCGCGTAGCCAGGATTTTATTTTAGACCGTTCTCGACTCTTAATCCTTGTTTGAATCAAGTTCCCCTTCCTCCGCGCATAGCGCGGAAGCTCTGACGTTTCATTAGATTATTAACGAAAGAAGACGATTCAATGTACCATTCTCGACTCTTAATCCTTATCTGAATTCATCCCCCCCCCCTCCCGCGCGTAGCGCGTAAGCTTTGACGCTTCATTAAATTATTAGAGAAAGAAGACGCTTCGTTGTACCGTTCTCGACTCTAAATCCTTGTCTGAATTCAATTTTCCCGCTCCCGCGCGAAGCGCGGAAGCTTTGACGCTTCATTAAATTATAAGAGAGAGGAGATGATTCGTTGTACCGTTCTCGACTCTAAATCCTTGTCTGAATTCAGTTTCCCCGCTCCCGCGCGAAGCGCGGAAGCTTTGCCGTTTCATTAAATTATTAGAGAAAGAAGACGATTCGTTGTACCGTTCTCGACTCCTAATCCTTTTCTGAATTGAGTTTCACCCCCCGCGCAAAGCGCGGAAGCTTTGACGTTTAATTAAATTATTAGAGAAAGAAGACGATTCGTTGTACCATTGTCAACTTTTAATCCTTGTCTGAATTCAATCCCCTCCCCCCCCCCCCCCCTCCCGCGCGTAGCGCGGAAGCTCCGATGTTTCATTAGATTATTAAAGGGAGAAGACGATTCGATGTACCTTTCTCTACTCTTAATCCTTGTCTGAATTTAGTTTTCCCCCCGCACAAAGCGCGGAAGCTTTGACGCTTCATTAAATTATAAGAGAGAGGAGATGATTCGTTGTACCGTTCTCGACTCTTAATCCTTTTCTGAATTTAGTTTCACCCCCCGCGCAAAGCGCGGAAGCTTTGACGTTTAATTAAATTATTAGAGAAAGAAGACGATTCGTTGTACCATTGTCAACTTTTAATCCTTGTCTGAATTCAATCCCCTCCCCCCTCCCCCCCCCCCCCTCCCGCGCGTAGCGCGGAAGCTCCGATGTTTCATTAGATTATTAAAGGGAGAAGACGATTCGATGTACCTTTCTCTACTCTTAATCCTTGTCTGAATTTAGTTTTCCCCCCGCACAAAGCGCGGAAGCTTTGACGCTTCATTAAATTATAAGAGAGAGGAGATGATTCGTTGTACCGTTCTCGACTCTAAATCCTTGTCTGAATTCAGTTTCCCCGCTCCCGCGCGAAGCGCGGAAGCTTTGCCGTTTCATTAAATTATTAGAGAAAGAAGACGATTCGTTGTACCGTTCTCGACTCTTAATCCTTTTCTGAATTTAGTTTCACCCCCCGCGCAAAGCGCGGAAGCTTTGACGTTTAATTAAATTATTAGAGAAAGAAGACGATTCGTTGTACCATTGTCAACTTTTAATCCTTGTCTGAATTCAATCCCCTCCCCCCCCCCCCCTCCCGCGCGTAGCGCGGAAGCTCCGATGTTTCATTAGATTATTAAAGGGAGAAGACGATTCGATGTACCTTTCTCGACTCTTAATCCTTGTCTGAATTCAATTTTCCCGCTCCCGCGCAAAGCGCGGAAGCTTTGACGTTTCATTAAATTATTAGAGAGAGGAGACGATTCGTTGTACCGTTCTCGACTCTTAATCCTTTTCTGAATTGAGTTTCACCCCCGCGCAAAGCGCGGAAGCTCTGACGTTTCATTAAATTATTAGAGAAAGAAGGCGATTCGTTGTACTATTGTCGACTCTTAATCCTTGTCTGAATTCAATCCCCTCCCCCCTCCCCCCCCCCTCCCGCGCGTAGCGCGGAAGCTCCGATGTTTCATTAGATTATTAAAGGGAGAAGACGATTTGATGTACCTTTCTCTACTCTTAATCCTTGTCTGAATTTAGTTTTCCCCCCGCACAAAGCGCGGAAGCTTTGACGTTTTATTAAATTATAAGAGAAAGAAGACGATTCGTTGGACCGTTCTCGACTCTTAATCCTTGTTTGATTCAAGTTACCCTTCCTCCGCGCGTAGCGCGGAAGCCTTGACGTTTCATTAGATTATTAAAGAAAGAAGACGATTCGTTGTACCGTTCTTGACTCTAAATCCTTGTCTGAATTTAGTGCCCCGCTCCTGCGCAAAGCGCGGAAGCTTTCTCCTTGTCTCCGATCTCATCACAAATTCATCACAGAGTTCACTGATGTTTACACTGTCCAGGATTGTCTGATGTGAATTGCAAATTGCTACTTTTGAGCTTCGCGCTTAACATTTAGCTCGTTGCTTTTTAACGCTGCGTCTCTGCATTTGGCGCACTGCATTTCTATGATGCTGTTGATTGAACAATCTGAATACATTAATCAATTCCTGATGAAGCCGTATGAGCGAGAATGCAATTTATTCTTGTCTCATATACGGTTGTCTCATTTACTTCGAAAATATAGGTATGTATTATGAAAATGAGATAGCAAAATGTGTATATTGATGGTCGTCTTGCGAGAAATAACCATTAACTGCTCTCATCGGACTCTCATTATTAATTTTTCTCTTGATTTTTTTTTTTTTTTTTGATGGTGAATTATTGGGGGGATGATTGTACAGGCCATTCCCCACCCCCACCTGAAATATTGGGGGGATATATCCCCCCACCCCCCCCCCCCCGGGATCGACACCCATGATGAGGACAATTACCCACTGGACAATCACCCCCTGAAAATCGGTCGGTTTGTCGTCAATTTGGCGGTATGACCGAAGCATGATTGTGATAGGGTAATTCAGGCAAACTAGGGACCCGTTTTACTAAGCCTTTTTTCAATGACAAAGGACAAAATTCAGTGACAAATCTGCTGATAACCAATCAGAAGCAAGGATTTCAGTAGCTTATAACAAAAACTGTCATTTGTCACGGATGACAAGTTTTGTGAAACAGGGTCCTTCTCGGGACCGACACCATACCGATGTACACATGTCATTAGAATGAATAGCACATAGACAGTCAGTTTGGTTGAGAATCGGACTGGAGTCTGGGTATTTTTTCGGTGTGACTGCAGAAGTATTCGGAAGACGGTCGACTTTGGAGGATAATAGATGTCCTCCGTTAATGAGACAAATTTAGAATAATTTCTAACGATCTTAAAGACCGTCAATACTACTGGGCCAGAAGGGATTAGACCCCACAGCGAGGTCATTGACAGGTGGTTTTCTCATTAACTCAGCTCTCAACTAACATAAGAAAAAGAGAATCATGGGGGAACAACAGGCACCGATTTGGGAAGTTTTCTATAAAGAGGGAGCAAGTATAGCTACAAGTAGGACAATGGGCTTTAATAACCATCAACTGTTCGACTTTACACTCATATTATGAAACAAATAATACATGTCTTTAGCTTGTGCATTAGTATTATGCACTGCACTTGGTTAAGTCACAATGAGACGAACAATGAACTCGGCAAGTCTCGTTCATTATCCTACTGTGACTTACCATGCGTGCAGTGCACATCCACTAATGCACTTGCAAACGTGTATATTCAAGAAGCAAAGAGAAGCGTTAAAATGATGCTTACTAGTTCGCTCTTTGATTCTGAGAGAGATAGACCGTTTTTGCCATTAGCAAAAGATCCTTGTCCCGACATAGCACGCCCTTGGTGCCCGTTAGCTGTCATCTCTACATCCGCCGATTGTGTATGGCTGTGATGGGAGTGACCACACTGTCAAAAGGGAATAAAATCATTTAAAGAAAAAAAATGTAATCATTTGATAATATAGAAGATAATGACGATGAAATATCACATTATTATGTTTTAGTATCGAAAGAATAGAGAGAGAGAGGGACAGGAAGAGAGATTGGGAGAGAGGGAGAGAGATATATAGAGAGGGTGGGTAGGAGGGAGGAGAGAGAGGGAGAGAAAGAGGGAAAAGGGAGGATGACGAGATTTAAAGAAGGTACGAGGCACCCTTCAATTAATTATTTGGATTCGTTTATTCCTATTTTATTTACCGAGTAAAGCCAACGCCCCCCCCCCCCCCCCTCCTTACCTAAAAGCCATAGCATAAGACCCGCCATACGTGTTAACCTTCATTACGCGCACTGGAGACAGTGCATTGTTGCGTCATATAAGAAAACCTACATAGGCACAACAGCGCGCTACATAGCGTAACTTTCGCTACTATGGAAATATAAACACACACAAACTGAGAACGTGTAATTAAATGCACGTTGTTCTCACACACATCATTATAGTAAGCCTAAGTATTGTACCAACCATTTCTCATTACAGCTCTTGGATTATAATTATACAAATGGATTATGTGAAATTGATTTTTATTCTCTTCATGATTATAATGGAGGAATTCATATAAGGTAGGAAAACGCTTCAAAGTTACGTACATTTTTTATTATTCGATATTTGTTTTTCACGTTCATAATTAGTAAGGCCGTAGATCTAGATTAAAGATAACAAATGTTGCTGACGGATGAATGCTGTTACAGAAGTTACTGGGAAGTCGTAATAAAAAGGAAATAATGGCAAACGATCACAACAGGGTTATGAACGCAAAGAAAATACATTCGCACACAATTCGATGTTAGAAACATCGACTGTCAGATTGTTTTCATGCTTGCATGTATTTGCTTACTCTTGTGTTTGTTATTTTGCTCTGATAAATGGGGTTTACAGCCATTCTAGTATTTGATCAAAACCAATAAAGGCAGTATTATCAATTTTCGTCAAAATGTATGTAGACCTACCAAAGGTCGATAAGGATTTTCCTCAACGATTTTCAACCTTCTACATAGCACATTACCGCGATATGGTCGCAAATTAACTGTTACGTAATATATTTTTCTTCATGAATCTAGAATTCAATGTACATAGTGTTCTCTGCTTTTTTTTAATGTTTCAATTTGTTTGTTGCTTGTTTTTTACTCGTTATTAGTCTGTTTTATATTCATTTCTGCTTGAATGTGTTCGGTTTCCGTTCATTATACCATCGAACAAAGCAGTCATGCTTTAAAATATTTTTCCTTTCTTTTTTTTGGTCAACAAATACGCGTTGTTAATGTTTGTCACATGTAAATCTAATAAGGTATTAAAATGGATTCGTAGTTTCTTTTCAGGATTCTTTTAAAAGGAGGACGAAGGGGTCCGTGTTTCTTAACTGTTTGATTAATATTTTCTAGTTTTGTAAGTCTGACATATATCTTGTAGTTCATAAACCGTATTCAAAATATCACCAAATGTTCAAGTAAACAAAATGAAAATATCACAATAGAATATAGAAACTGCGTTATATTAATCGATCTTCTTAGTAATATTATTACCTTCAGGAAACTCTTAAGTTGCTCCTAGACGAAGAACGCACAAATATATTTCTCCGATTTTTTTGATTTTTTTTTTTTTTTTTTTTTTTTTTGTATCTGCTTATTCAGACCAAGCAATTTAGAACTATCGAAATTAAGACAGTTCAGAACGCATAATTTTGGTTTAAAATGGCGGCCTACTTTCATGAAACTCACTATCTGTTCGAAGAAGAAGACACATTATGTGTTTTTGATTTTTAATCTGCTTTCATTTTCGCGACAAAGCAAGTCATAACTATTGTTGTTTGTTAAGCTTTCATTATAAAAAATATAGGTATTGGAAGACTGTTCAATTGATTCTTGCAGTGGTGGTTATTTTACCTGACTGCTAAGAAAGCATAAATGCTTGTTAGTAAGCAACCATAGGACCGACGGCTTTAGGTCCTCTCCGAGAGACCTGGTAATGAGGACTAATGTTGTTTGCTATGCTTTCATTATAAATAACATAGCTATCGAAAGACTGTTCAATTGATTCTTGTATAGTGGTGGTTATTTTACCTGACTGCTAAGAAAGCATAAATGCTTGTTAGTAAGCAACCAGAGGACCGACTGCTTTAGGTCCTCTCCGAGAGACCTGGTAATGAGGATTAATGCCTTACCGAAGGGCACTATAGCGCCTTGGATTCGAACCCGGGTCGCCGGATAATGAGACCCCTGCTCTACCAACTGAGCTATCGCGCGCCTTCTGGAATTCACATGATTTAAAATGGCGGCCTACCTTCGTGAAACTCGTCAGCTGCTCGAAGACGAAAAAGACGTAAATGGCCATCTCGACGACAAGACACTTCCAGATATACGCCATCTCCGGGCTCGTAGGCGCATGAGCGCTGTGACCGCTGCTGTCGTGGGTGTGGAGACCCACGGCCTGTACGAGATAAAGAAAGAAACGTTTACGTATGAATAAGTACGGTGTGTTGGCTCAGTCAGTAGAGCGTCCGCCTCACAACCGGGAGGTCGTGGGTTCGAACCCCGGCCGCGTCATACTTAAAGGCGTTAAAAGATGGGAGTTGTTGCTTCCTTGTTCGGCGTTCAATAATAAGGGATAGAGCGCAACGTCGATCTGGCGCTGCTCAGTGGCTGCCGGGCTCACGACCAATTGGGCAAAACAGAATTTTCGTTTCGGTTTAATAAAATTTGGAGTGGACTTTAAAGATTATTATTATTATTATTCATTGACCATTTCATGAAATTTGATTTCTACTTCTTGATAGAAGTAAAACATGATAAATTTATATAGCGCAGCTTTTATACAAAATATATTCAGCTGCGCTGGTTACGAGCTCCCTTTTACTAAAATCTTTTTAAAAAATCAGATCTCTCAGTACAGATAATAAGACAAGTTACATACAGTTAACTATATTATTTATACACCTTTTAAATTTGATTTGATTTTTTTTGTCCCCCTTTTCTTTTCTTTGTATTTCAAGAATGAAAGATGGACTGGTTAGATGAGGGCATTTGTTGAATACTTTTAGATTCGATCTTTGGCATGTAACATTATCAACAACAACAAAAAAAAAATATATATATATATCTGGACAAATCAATTGTTCACATGCTTAAAAAGTGACAAAACTTGGTTAGGGTATATAAATAATTTATTTGTTAATTGTACATAACATTAAACAATATATATCGTCGCTATATTTCATACTTACAATCAATCCCATCTTATGCATTACCAGTCAGCAAACAAAAGGGCTCAAGAAAAAGAAACAAAAGAAACGTGCATTTCTCTCTTGAGATATCAATACCCATTGCTTATACCTGAGGTAAAACGATGTAGACTAAGACAGTATCACAAGTAAAACAAGAAAGGATGGTGAAATCCATTTTTAGAGATAAACTGCCCATTGATTACCATTTGGTAAAAGATGTAAGACAGCATTACCAGTCAGCAAAGAAAAGGGCTCAAGTAAAATGAAGAAAGAGTGGTGAAATCCCTTTTAGGGATAAACTGCTTATTGCTTACCTGGGGTAAAAGATGTAAGACAGCATCACCAGTCAGCAAAGAAAAGGACTCAAGTTAAAAAAAAAAAAAAAAAAAAAGAGTGGTGTACATGTATCCCTTTTAGAGATAAACTGTCCATTGCTTACCTGTGGTAAAAGATGCAAGACAGCATCACCAGTCAGCATAAAAAAGGGCTCAAGTTTTTTTGTAAAGAGTGGTAAAAATCCCTTTTAGGGATAAACTGCCCATTGCTTACCTGTGGTAAAAGATGTAAGACAGCATCACAAGTCAGCATAGAAAAGGGCTCAAGTTAAAAAATATTTAAAAAAATAAAAAAGAGTGGTGTACATGTATCCCTTTTAGGGATAAACTGTCTATTGCCTACCTGTGGTAAAAGATGTAAGACAGCATCACCAGTCAGAGTAGCCACGGCTAAAGCTATCATTGTTTGTATGGTCTTGTCATAGAAACCTTCTGACATACAAGGGACGAACAACCCACCGAGCACCGCAAACAGGCTGATGATGAAAACTGCTAGAGTCCCGTATCCCCACACTAATACAGAAGAGACATTAGAATAGAATACAAAATCGATTATTTATTTATTCATTTTTTTTTAGATTAAAAGTTATTTATTAAAGCCCGACTGCAATACTTGTAGCAACTTTCTTCCTCTATATAGAAAACAATGCCTAAGCAGTGCCCGTTGGTCCCCCATGATTCTCTTTTTCTTATCATAATTGAGAGCTGAGTTGATGAGATAACCACATGTTAGTGACCAGCAGGGTGGTCTAATTTATCCTAGCCAAACGAGTGCAGACGGGCTTTAAACAATAGATTCTATCAAAATATAATGTTAGAAAAGAGTAAAAGATTGAATATTTATTTATTCATGTGTTTCTCAATCTATTTACAAGACAACAGATTCCATCAAATATACCCAAAGTGTTAAGTAGTCTGATTTTGAGCTTTGATTGTCAATTACGCGAGTTTTCACCGTAAATAGATAAATACAGTGCAATTATTCATTCATAAATTAACTTAAATTTGTATGCCTTCATACAGAGGTCATCAGGGCCCTGTTTCATACAAACGTGTTTTTATCTTCATTCAAATTTGCTCTAACCCAAATATTAAAACGTCACAATTTCAATAGCTTATAAATGGTTTTTTATCTTTGTATTTATAACAAGCTTCATGAAACAAAGTCCATGTCGAGTTTTTGGACATTTGTTTTGGACAAACAATTCCTCAGCGAAAGTGCACAAGAGAGGGATTTTTCAATGACGCACCCCAAAACGGAAGGCGAGAGTAATAACAAGTAATACCGTGAAAGAAGTTTATTACATTCATCAAGACACACATAGCTGGTGATACATCAACATAATCACTAATCAGTTACTAAAATCAAAATATTATTACTACCTCTGAGTCAATGAACCCCCAAAATGGGAGGCATTAGTGATAACAAACAAGAAAGTGAAAGAAGTTTATTACATTTATTATGAAAAACAAGGATGGTGATATATATCTAAACATTTACACTAAATCACAATATTTTTACTAACTTTTTGCTTTGGAGATATCCGATGGCTCAGTAGTTGTAATTTCGCATGCTCCACTCAAGATTTGTTGCACCAGTGACGGAGAAAGTTCGTTGAACTGTTCTTCGGTAATTCCAGCTTCATGGTCAATACCGTATATGTCTAGTAGTTCTTCGCTCGAAAAGCATGTCTATAGACAAGAGAGAGAGAGAGAGAGAGAGAGTGGTATAAAGTAACAGGGGGAAATCCTTTATTAATCTGATCTATTTATTTAAATACAGTGATTAAAATACATGCTTTCAGCTTGACATAGCTGTTTTCAACATGTCCCTACATGGTACATTATTAAGAATACAGGGCATTCTACTACGATATTGAGCCGATTTAGCTATTCCTCTTCTAACGAAGCATTTAAATCCAGCTTAAAACCCTTGAAATCTTCATTTTTCGTCATCATAATGACTGTTGAGATCTGTGGTCATTAAGTTTTCATATGTTTGAATGTTCGTGTCAAATGCTAATGGAATGTCTTCCAAAAACAGATTCGTAGTCGGATCCTATGTTGTACGATGGGATTTAGAGTATATAGTAGTCTATCCGCCATACCTGTACGTAGAAATTATTGAACTTTGGCTGATAATGAAGGCGAATTCAAAGACTTTCGTTGACTCAAAGAATGAAAAATGAAAAATGAAAATACAACCAAACCAAAACCAAAAGACAAAAAGACAAAAATGAAGAATAACAAAACCTTACCATACTTTTAAAAACTATAATCATTAGGGTGAAAATAGTGATGTGAAGGGAGGGGGGATTGATTGCAAAAGTCACAACCTATCTGAGGATTTGATTATACCTCAACGTTTTGTCGTTGATAGGCTATGTACATAATATGTCAGATATAAAATTGGATTATTCAGGGACAATTTAAAGGCATGTCATGAGCAACTATTTCTTTGATACACACTAAGACTGTTTCACGCTATATATCCCATGTATTATTATTATTTACATCATTGTTATTAAAGTAATTTTCTTGTATTATTTAGCGAACTATTAATCCGGCATCTTTTGCCGACAAAATGAATAGGCCACATCGGAAAGAAAAATACATATTTCAAATAACCGGGTGCGAGATCATTGAGATATTTATTGACAAGGATCATTTTACGTTGATTCCGTCGCACGTGATGAACACGATTACATACATGGAATGATAACCTATTGACACCTTGAACCGGACAGTCCAACTGTTGAGAAAGGATCACCAGCTGATCAACAAATGATATACGATCATACAACCCTGATTCCTTCTTTTTCACTCTCGAATTAGTCCCATGGATGCAATTGGTTTATGCACCAGAGCCCTGTTTCATAAAACTTGTTATCAATAACAAGTTACAATCACAAGCTACTGAAATCGTGGCTTTTGATCCGCTGAGAGCAACTTTGTAATAGTAATGTAGCATTTGATATTCATGACTAGTTTTAAGAAACAGAGCCCTTGCAATCAACACAACATTTGTTTTTACCAAAAGGACGGCACCTCAATGCTCTTAAAATCATAAATACATCGAAAAACATAGATAGCATTTAAATAAATGTGACATATTTCGGAGTTTCAAACTCCATCCTCAGGCAGAGTTTTACACTCGAACTAAACCCCATTTAAAGGCCTTTATGTATTCCCTGCCTTCTTTGATTTTAAGAATGTTAAATGTCAGAGTGATGAAAAATTGGTAACCATTATAATTTGGTGTTTCATTAATTGAGTATGTCATAAATAAATTAGAAGCTACATTAACTGTTGATAATTTATTTACATAATCCTGATCAGAGCGCGGATACCAAACGAGAAATTTAAAAAAATTATTTGGAACAATAACATAATTGTACATATAGCACTTTGCATTTAACATAGTAGTTATCCATAAACAAGGATTGGGCATGATGAGCATAATATTATAACAGATAAGGACATAATCATAGCAATGGCATCATACATGTTTATCACTTTCCCTGTTGAGAGCCAGAGACGTGATGGAAGTAGTAGGCCTGTTTTATCAGCTCGAGATTGCCAAATAACCTGCTATTTTAACTAGCCCGATCGCAATTTATCCAGCAAATTTGCGTCTTCATCAGCCTGCAGTTGCAACTAGCGGGACAGTCGGTCGAGATAATCATTTCAAGATATATTGGGCTAGTTTGCAAAATATCCCGCTATTTGTCCGGTTCGTTTTCACCAGCCCGAAGACTAGTACTCTGCGCGAATGCTGAGCAAAATTAACGCTCGACCTCGGACCTCGAAACTCGAGCTCGAGAAATTAGCTCGAGTTTCGAGGTCCGAGGTCGAGTGTCGAGCTGATGAAAACGCGATTTGTAAAACTTCGGGCTTATTTGCTAATCAGAAACAGCAGGCTATTTGGCAATCTCGAGCTAATGAAGAAATACCTAATTATCACCTCTCTGACTCACAGCAGCAATACGGACGTGACTTAATCATGATAAGGGAAGAGGTTGGTTTTGAGTTTCTGTTTGAAAATTTATTCTGTCAAATAGGCAGCGATGTTGTTCAAGTACCTAAGCGGACTATACACAGTTAGCGTTTTATTTATGAATGATCAATAAAACATTAAAATATATGTTTTGCTATTAAACACATAGGACTGTGTCTGTGTTTGGCATGGTCTTTGATGAATCATGAGCGAGTAAGATTGTTCAAGGAATGAATGGGAAATGAAACAGTGAGAACATATTGCTTTAAAATGGCGCATGCACTGATTGCGTCACAGGCATAATTAGTGTAAGCAGTTTGGCTATCGAAATACGCTTTGAGTACAACGAGCATTATCGTAATTCATCTTTTGACAAGTGTGTAAGCTTGTTTGTGTTAAATTAAAATATGTTTCCATAAGTGAATCAAAACATGGAATATATCTTACATAAGATTGATATGAAATAACATTTACTATGAAACGTAGAACATGTCACTCTTCACTATCATTCCACCCTCGTGTTGTGCGTCAAAAAAACCGGACAGTTCGTTGACGCAGTCCTGTGTCAAATTATTGACGCATCGTGAGCAATTTGCATAACACATTACTTTGAATCCATCTTACCGTTGTAACGTTCGCAACGCGTGAATGGCTATGATTGGCGTGGTCGTGATCATCAGCCAATACCGTAGCTCGCTTCTCTATGCTCCGCCCCTTCGAGCGTGTTGCTATGACGTCCCTCCTCCTACGGGCGTGTTCATGGTCGTGGCCATCTTCCCCACCGATTCCGAGGTCTATCAGCATGTGCGCGAACTCTGCGTTGCGTTGTAAAGAGAGAGTTTAAAGAAAGTTTGAGTTAGACTATATAGAAGGAGAGCCAGGGAGAGGAGGGGGGGGGGGGGGGGGGGAGGGAGGGGTTATCATAATGTTTTATCATAACAACCGAGGAATTTCACAAAAGTCTGTAAAAATTATTCTCTGCAAATTCGATCGTCAATGGATTTTCCTTACTTTTACATTTAAAGTTCGCTGCTCAATTGCACAAACACCCAATGGACATTTACCTGACTGATTTAACCTACCCCCCTCCCCCCCCCCCCTTTTTTTTTTTATAAATTAGATGCAAATGCCCAAGAAACATGAAATATTAATCATAGAAAACTTCATTATCACGGATTTTATCCAGGGGTATGTCATTTGAAAGTAAAGATTTGAACCTAAATACAACGTATCTGAATTGTCTCAAGTTGTCACTGTTGCGTCAGTTAATGGAGAACATCCTGTTGTCCTTTAAAAATGTTCTTTGTCCGAGACATCGACCTTATAATTACAAGCAAATTCAATAACATCGAGCATCGAATTTGGAAATGTACGAACAAAACAATTACATCGTCCCAGAATGCTTTTACATAGGAAACATGATAGGGTTTAGAAGATCCCAGTGGGTTGATTTCTAGGCAGTCTCTACGATCGTCGTATTCTCTTATGCTCACCTTCCTCTGGAATAACGCCCAAGGTCGCATACGTGTCGAAAATTGCCTCGGTGAAGTCCGTGGTCGAGGGCAGAATGGGTTCTCCTATGCAGTACCCTTGTAGTAGACCGGCGACCACGGCCTGCGCCGCATACTGGAGCTCGTCATCGTCAGCCCCTGCTTCGTGGTCATTCACGGTTTCGTCGAAGACAGATTCAACGCTAAAGCACTATTAAATGTACGATAAAACGAGAGAGTTCGCATTTATTTGATTTTTCTAATCACCATCTGATAGTCCATGGAATGCTCATGATCGATCTCAACACCTACTTAATTAAGAATTTATTACGTTAAAGTTATATTAATTTTAAAACATAAAAGCAACTACTTTCGATATATCAACCAAACGTAATCTTAATATATTTTGTGGGTCACCTAAAAAGATGGCAATGACGTATAGGGAATCCAAATATGATTTATATGGGGTAAAGAACAAAGTATTACAATTTCCCTTTGATTCGATATTTGTTTTATTTTTTTTTTTAAAGATTTTTGTTGTGGCTATAATATATCTTTGATTTTTGACAGGCCTGCTATTATTGTGTATATATGTTATGAATAAAACGTTTGAACTGTATGAATGTGTAGCTTATGGCTTCTAGGCTTCGTTTCGTTTTTTTCTGAATTCTTAGCAGCGTACATAATTGAATTTGTGCATGCGTATATCTTGTTGACATGCTGTCAAGTTTTCCTTTTCTAAATCAGTATAACCAATAATCTATTCATATTATCCCATTTTCCACCTCTTATATATCATATATTCTTCTACTATTCGAAAATTGTATACCTTTACCAATTACCAATGTTACAGATAACTCTTACAGACGCAAATATGTTATTGGTCCCTAGATCGTCACGTGATATCGATTGCGAGGATCTTAATTAGCGTCTTCCACTCCTAGCCTTATTTTTTCTTTTTAATCCGAAATGTTTTAATTCTCCAAATAGAATTACTACAAACCAAATCAAAGTTAATACAAATAACATCATTCAGAAATTAAATAAATTACAAGTCAAACTAAGTGTATACATTTTCTTTTGCACCCAATACAGTATACAGAAGGAGAATATTTGAAATACTCGTTTAAACACATGTTTACGTAACAACAACATAAAACAATGCTTTGTTCAGAACATGTTAATAATCTTTTAATCTTGATCTAAGGAGACACGAACGAACGAAAGTAAAGCATAGTTGTAGCCCTGAATATAGAGATTTAACTTTTTTTAGACATATATAAAAAAAAAAAAAAAAAAAAAAAAACAATACCAAACACAAAACACACTCACAAAACAAATCACATTCGGTCCTTCTATTCCTCATGTATACGCACATATAGTTAAACAGACACACGCCACCTTTAAACACCCCAAATAACGTTATATCACAAAGTCCACCAGTCAATAATTGTATCATAAGAACCTATGCCAACATTAAATGTCCCTTACCTTCGCGTTCGTTGACTCGGCATAGCTGTCATGGATCGATTCCAAGATTACTTCCAGGTCATTCTCAGTCAAGGTCAAGTTAGACGAATCAGGTGCCGCCATCTTGAGTGACGCCATCACCACACTTTCAGTGAGATCTGTGCCGCCACGACCGGCCTGGCATACCACCACCATCTCGTACGCTCCGAAGAGGAATAAGGGACTAGCACGGAGAAACGCGGCGTCATCGAGTCCGTCGGCAACGTCGATATCGAGGCTGGAAAAGACGTCAGATGTGAAGTCATGTTGGCACTAGAACAGACGGAGGAGATAGAGAGCGAGGATGTAGTTTAGACCTTCTAAAGATTAACTCAGGGCAATTAATCTCGTGTTTTATTGCCTTTAAATTATCAGCGTTATTTCACCTTTTGGGTGCCACAAGACGTCTTTAGGTGTACCGTGAGAGAAATGAACTAAAGATCATTTTTTAATCCATTAAAGAAATAACACTCTAAAGACAACTAAGTGTCTCTTTTTTTTTCTCGCTCCTTCGCAATTTCATTTAGAAACGATGTGATTTCAAGCAATAAAGTGCTAAATACCCAAATTAGAAGTCAACGAGGTTCCTGAATGTCTTTCGCATACATAAAATCATTACTTATCTAGTGTATTATGTTTACAAAATAGCAGTTAACTATACAAGAAATGTCATTGTTTGTTTTGGCTCGCTCCGCTCAATCTCAAAGTTTAGGGGCAATATGAGTCCGTTCGTGTGTTCATGGCACTTGACGTGTACCAGCGTAATTAAACATAGAGACTTATAGATTTGCACAACGGAGAACGTAGACTGCCCTTTTAAGGCAATGTGACGTCCTTTTAAGGCACTGGCAGTGACGTCACATTGCCTTAAAAGTACAGTCCACGTTTTCCGTCGTGTAAGTCTAAAAGTCCCTAATGAAACTCCTATAATGACTTGGGATTAGAGTGACGCGAAATCATTTATATCTCTAAAGGATGCCGCGACAAGAAAAGGGTTGGACAGTCGCTGTCCTAAATAATTCTTGTTTGGAGCACGTCATTGTGACATCAGCACATTTCAAAATGATGCACAAGGTTATTGAAACTACCTAAAGTTGGTTAAACCCCCCAAAAGCGATATGCTTACGAACCAAATTGAAAGGAATGACAGGTTTTGTACTTGTCCTATTGTTGTCTTCCCCGCCAGAAAGGGAATGAGAAATCCTCTGTAAACACACAACGACCCTCGCACGAGCGCACACCCGAGCCGATAGCACGCAACCCATCTTCCCAAGCACGCTCTTCACCGCATGTATTCATACAATGATTTGCACGAGTGAATCGGTATTATGAAATGCAACACAAATACATCAATACTTTGTAATATATAGACCAAAAACAAAACCGCAATGAAAATTTGACAGTAATATACATCAATAACAGCAATGGTCGGTATTTCTCTTCGCGTATCTTTAAAGAGACACACACAATATTTATACGATTTTTAAAAATAGCTACGATGCCTGCCTTATAGGTAAAGGTGTCGTTTTTGGCGGCTACCTCACCGGACCTAGTCCGGTGGTGATAAAAATGAATATTCGCTTGCTATTAGGCCTAAACAAAAAAGATGTTGTTTTGCCCTTTGCTACCGACCCAATTTCTTGAAATGTACGGTCGGCTTTTTTAGCAATTTAAAAAAAAAAACGTTTTTCAGAGAAAAAAAATTATATTAAAGCATTCAAAACTGAGAAATATCAGCCCAAAGAGGTAGTCAAAGAAAAAAAAAGATTTCCGACCGACTGACCCATGTTTTGGCACCTAAAGGGCAATACATCATCTATTGTATAGGCCTTATCCTTTTAGTCCTACAATTTCCATAACGCAAATTGCATAAGTAATTGGCGCTTTCCTTGGGTGAAAGAGATTTGTCAACTGCTATGTTTAAGAACTTTGAATAAATTAGTTACGATTGTTCCCTTGTTATACATTTTTCACCAAATATAATTTCTATCTTTCCAGCTATGATTTCGTCGCTGTTTTCACGAAGTGACGGTAGTGAAAAAAAATTGCATTCACTTTGCGTGACGATTTCCTCACTACCGTCACTTCGTGAAAACAAGGACGATTTGTGCTCATTGAAATGTAAAAGTTTGTTTATTGATTTAAAAAGTCTTTCCATTTTAAATAAAGCTTCGTGCATGATACATGTACAACTTTACCTCATACGTCACATTTTCAAGGAAATGGCTGCGCACATGTCATGCTAAAAGGCATCAAATCGTGCTAAGAATAACTTTACTTAATTATCTCTTTTCCCCTTTACAAAGAATATTGTACAACAAAGAACAGGAGTACATCCCATTTTTCAGAATACACGTATTCTTTAGGGTAAGGTTTCCTTTAATATACTTATGGGGCGTTGCAAGAAAGGTGCAATCAATTGCAAATCCCCAAAATCAAGCGTACGTCTTACGATTTATTGCAAATTTGCAATTGATCGCCACTCAGTTTTCTTGCAACGCCCCATTAGTAAGAGAGAGAGAGAGAGAAAGAAAGAGGGGGAGGGGGGGAACTTTATTGCTAATTGCTTTAGCACCTTATCACGGCGGCTCAGCTACAAACGTTTCGACTGATATGATGCTGTGTATCGCGGTAGAGTGTTATTTGCATTATAGCTGCGGTATAATTATAAAGGGGCAAATGATTATTCGATCAAAAAACTAAAGGTTGTGATAACAAAATAGTTGTTTACATATTAAGTATCGATTTGTTAAGAATAAACAAACATGATCAGTTTATAAAAAGGGTTTTGTATTCATGTCCCTTTCGCCAACAGTTTGACCAAGAGCAGTTCATAGAAAATATGAAATCAAGTCTTGTGAGCATGAGTTGGCCTATACTAACCGCAGAGAACTTTCTTGATATAATTAAATTCTAAATAGACCGGTTTCTGAACATATTCAAATTTATAGATGTTTCTCTCTTTGGGACCTAGTAACGAGGTATTCATTAATATGTTATTGATGAATGAACTACAATACTTGGAATCCAGATTACATGCATTACTTTTTGCCATGTCGGGCAATCCTAGGATGAGAACAACCTTTTTTTTTTAAACAGTATGTATACACTTGTAATAATAGTAAACCAGTCAAATAAAGATAATGATTGTAATTGATTTGTAATATTTTGTTGGGAACAAAAATAAAATAGAACAAATTAATAAGTGAATCGAAAATAAATGCATATAGCAGTAGAAGAAAAATACAAAACATAACAAACGGGATGGAAAAAGTTAATATTATTATTTTCTTCTGCCTTTTGGGGTCTAGCCTTAGGGAGGTGGAGCATCGAGAGGGGCGCAAATACACAAAAACTCAGCCACTATGAAAAAAGGGGCATATTTTCTAGGGGTTTTAAACGGGCAATGGCGGTTATACCTTTTTAAATCCGGCTATGTGTTGCGGGCCACATTCTCAATTGTTGATCTTCAATCTCAAAATCAATACAAAAAGGGGACTTGCCAGAAAATAATTGAAAAAAAAGTTAGATGCATGTACTTCGTCATAGTGATACAATATATCCGTATCATGATTTATCATATATTTGTTTTCACTTCGTTTTCTGTGCGTGCTGTGCGTGGAAACAATATTGCGATTTAACATGTAGTTTACATACATCTCTCATGCTCATATAATATAGTCTTATTTTACATAATTCTCTGATAGTCATAGGCCTAGTTTACATAATTCTCTCTTCCTCAAAGTCTTAGTTTACATAATTATCTCATGATAATAGGCTTAGTCTATGCATCACTCAATTTCCTTAGGCAGTAGATTAATTATAGATATTTTGTATCCCACAATGCACCACACTTGAACGCTCGCACTCCAAATAAAGGCGTGGTCTTATGACTTGCTGGGTCTATATTCCAGGACGCGCAATTGCGGGTGTTATCATCGCATTGTGTGTTTGCTAGAGAGATTTTCCTCGTTTGATGTGTGAACAATTGAGATTCTGATTGATAAGATTCCCTTACGCTTGACAATTGTGGAATGTCAACTTTGTAGTGTAAAACTACTGTGAAAGAAAGCAGAAAAATCAGATAAGCAGACTAAAGAAAATTTGAATAAAATCGGACAAAATATAAGAAAGTTGTCAAGTTTGTTAGGCCGATGGACAAATCGTATAAGGCCATTTTAAATTAGCTGAAGTCGCCATGTCATAGTGACGTAGTCCCGGACTATTTTCCCAATCTGTTTTAACAAACATGAAAAATACAGAATATTGTTCTTCTTTAAAATGCATGGATTAGCCTGTTCAACTCCTTTTAGATGACCTATGACAATATGATTTCCATTATGTTTTGAGTACTGCCCCAAAGGCAAATGACACTTACGGGAAAAATTAACAATACTGAAATATATTCTGTACACGAAGAACGGGAGAACTGTCCGTGACTCTAAGTTACAATCCACTAACCAAATTGCCAATTTGAAGTTCGCATAGATGTAGTAATCCCATGATTCAAACATTCTTTAATTTATTCAGTATTGGTCCGATTTATTTTTAATCTTTGGTCATTCTGTTTCTCTTTATGTTTTGCTTTCATACAATTAAACATATTAAAAAGTTCGGATTGCCTTCATTTAAATTGAAATAGATGTTGTCTGGAGAGGAAAATCAATAGTTTTTGTAAACAAGATAAAATTGGTATAGCGATTTTTAATTATATTTTAGAGACTGATATCATCAAATTATATTTTTTTAAAAGAGGACATTTTTAAATTCAATGCTAAATGTGACTTCGGTAAGTAGGAAAAGTATTAAGAAAAGAAAAAGAAGAAAAAGAAAAAAGAAAGGAAGAAATATAGAATGAAAAAATAATGAAAAGAAGATAGACAAAGTAGGGGGGAAGAATAAGATGAAGGAGAAGGAGAAGTAGGAGAAGAAGATTAAGCAGAGGAAGGATAGTTCAAGAGAGCCATAATGTCAAAATATTCAAGCTCGTCGATTTCTTCTCTTTGCAATAGCTCAATTTGTATAAAAGGAGAAATGCAAGGGAAACAACAATGTGGAAGTTTGAATTAAATCGGACCTGTTAGAAGAAAGTTACGAATGTGTTTGAAATATGCAATTTATTAGTACGCTTGATTCTGACGTATAGTGCCGGACAACTTTCTCATTATTTCCGACAGAAAACAAAATAGAATAAAATGTCAGTTATTCAGAATGAATTACTCATGAAGGCCGTTTTCTTTAGATAACATTTACTAATATATATGATATATTTCTAGTAATGGCTCTAAGGAGATAGCTTTCAGGGGAGAAACATAAATGAATAACGTTTTTGTACACAAGAAATCACCTCAAAATCTTGCCCTTCTATATCTCTTATTTATTTACTTTCATACAACATGAACACAAAATATGGATTGCCTGTTTAAAGGGAATATCTCCTCTTCTTTTTACTGTAGCCTTTAAATGCGTCAATAATGTTTTTTCCGTTAGCTTTGAGAACGATTTGTAATTATAGGAAAAAGGCCAGTGTCCTATTGCGACGCCAAAAGAAGCCAAGGCTTTTCGGTCAATATCAGTCACTGTGATAAGCGGACTTTTTCAGTACACAATTTCTGTAAAACAGTATGGAACAACTAATCAATGACAGGCAATGTTATGTTACGGGCCTTATTTCAAAACTAGATGATTTAGATCAAGGTGTCCCTGAGAATAAGATTCATCGGGATTTCAGTTACCATGTTTGTCTGTGTTAAGTTTTATACAGCCTGTTTTTTAAAAGTATTTATCGTATTGTATCGTAGTTTCATGTGTTTTTTTTTACCTTCATTTTGTTGTTTATAAGTTAGTTTCTTTCTTTTGTCAATGTTCTCCATTTCTCTATTTCCTCATATCGTTATTTCTTTTTTCATTTGTTCTCTATCCCTCAATCTCTTTGCTTCATTTTTTGTTCTCTCTCTATCTTTCTTTGATATAACTACATTCTTTTACATTCACCTTTCCTTCAATCGTATTCATTTTTCTCTCCATTAATATCCTACCCTCTATCTATCTGTCTGTCAATATCTCTCCCCATTTCACTTTCATTCGAATATAACTCACCAAAATATTGATGTGCCTTGATTTAATTGTTAAATGATTTAAGATTATCTGTTATGTATATTTTGTATTTTTCTTTTACAGCAGTTAATTGACTGACGAGAAACCCCCGTTTTCATAAAAACTGAAATAAAAACTAAAAAAGTGAATAATGAGTAAATAACCTAATAACTATGAAAACTAAATCGTTTTTGTTTTACCTTAGAACAGTTATCGACCCGTTGCTCACAATTGATCCGTCCGAAAACTATTTCGACCAAACTAACAACTTGATCAAACGTCACATTCTGTTCCGGATTATTCAAAAAATCGAATTCCTCTCTCATATCCGCCAGCTCAACCTCCAAAAGATAATTTCCAATTTCCACGTAGTCGTCATCATCCTCGTGTTCGTGTATTTCCCTCGGGTCCCTGGTCAAGCTTGCAACCGTGATCGCAAGAAAGTTTGTCAGGATGGCGAGCAAGAGAAATCTGGTGCACACGGTACGTAGGTACGCCATTTTGAATGAAGAACTTTTCCTGTACTGTGCGCCTATGGGTGTGTTACATGCAACTGTTACGTATAGTACTGTGTGCAGAATGCTTATACGTGCCGTGTGCAGGCAGCGTGAAGACGACCCAAGACATATATACCCGGGCATATACATAATACATGTCAATAAAGAATACTGCAAACAGTCTTTTATCGACTAAGTCTTCATCAATCCTACTCTCTTGATTATTCCGAACGTCAAGCCACGCCCACCGATACATCAATCTCGACCTTTGGACTGTTCATTAAAGGTATTATATTGCTTTGTGTAAACCTTGCAGAAGCGTCATACATTTGTCAATTTATCCTGTCGTTTGACGTAGAATCTCGTAACTTTATGTAAATTTGTAGCTTGAACCTGGAGTTTCAAATTTCTCTATGAGACTATAATAATAATAAATTGTTTCTTTTATAGCGTTTTATCCAATTTACAACTGTTTAAAGCGCTTTACAAAACACAAAAGTCAATGATTTAGAACTCAACAAAATATATGATAGAAATTGTAATTTAGTTCATTACAATGCAAATAGATGTGTTTTGAGATGTTTCTTAAATACTTTAACTGACATACTACAGCGCAATTCACAAGGTAACCTATTCCATGTAACCGGACCACTGGAATAAAAAACTTCGCTCGCCTATCTTCGATTTTATTCTAGGCACATGGAAAGCCGTTCAAACATCTGTTCATACCTGTAAAAAATAGAAATTTATCATAAAAGATTCATTCATGGGTTGACATAAAATTGCAATTTTCTGCACTGTATTGAGAACAGGGAATTTTCAAAGTTCTGTTTTAATTGCACATATTTCAATTAGTCCTGGCTAAATAATACACAGAAGTTCTTTAAAATAATGTAGTTATTTTTTTCAAAATGGTCGATAACCCTGCACGACATCGTCGACCACAAAACCGACGGCCTTTCAACCCACAGCGGGCCTTCTGAACAATTTCTGAGAGTTAAAAAAACTGTAGGTTGTCAATTTACATGGACGCCCCGCTCTTTTATAAGGAAGGAAACGCAAGAAGAGAAAGGAAACAGGAGAAGAAAAAGAAGGGGAAAGAGAGTAAGAAAACGGAAGAAGAAAAACATGAAGGATAAGGAGAAAGATGAGGATTTATTTACTTATTTATTTATTTATTCATATATTATTGTCCACTTGTGTGATGGATCATAGGGTCTACTCTTCTGAAATCATATCATATGCAATAGAGTCGATGTGTGTGTATGTGTGTGTGTGTGTGTGTGTGTGTGTGGGGATGGTATTAAAATAACCCACAACAAAACACAACCACAACAAAAAATTCAATAAATTTTTTGCTTTAAAAATGCAACTTTTATATTTGTACCCAAATTAATCGATATTAGGACTGATGCGATATTTAGAATTGGAACAAGAGAATTTGTTTTCGTTGCCTGTAAACAGTGTGTCAAATAGCAACCTGTCGATGTAGCTTTTTTCAAGTTGAAAAGATTTCAAGTATCTGGATGTTTTTGTTAAATTACCATTTGGGCGTTACATTATTCTTGAAGCTGCAGCAGTTACTACTGAAAGCACAGAGTCTGTTATACCTACAATCTCACTGCCTACCATCCCTTCAGCTCTGATGACTACATCCCTCCTCCAGTCAGCTCTCATCCCTACTTCATCTGCTATTATACTGGTTAGATGTTCATGGTGGTGGTGATGGTGGTGGTGGTGGTGGTGGTGGTGGTGGTGGAGGTGATGGTGGTGGTGGTGGTGGTGATGATGATGGTGATCGGTGGTGATGGTGGTGATGGTAGTGGAGGTGGTGGTGATGATGATGATGATGATGAGGATGATGGCGATCGGGATGGTGATGATGATGATGATGATGGGTAATGTATAATCTTGCAGAGCTAATGACCTGTTATTTAATGCCCTTTTCTTTTGACTCACAACAGGACGCTATTCACTTTTTCTTGGGAAGGGAAGCACAAACAGGGAATAAACAGAAGAAATTGCTTGGCTTGATGAAATCTGTCAATCAATCAACTATAGAGGAAGCAACATTTCACCCGAGGTAGGTCAGGGCCCTGTTTCATCAAACTTGTTATCAATAACATCTGCCACAGATCTATGACCAATCTGCTCTTAGCCAATCAAATGCAATGATTTCAGTATCTCATTAAAAAATCATTGCATTTCGTTATTGATGAGTAATTTTATGAAACTGGGTCAAGATCTTGAGGGGCATCCATAGTTTGCCTCTCTATACTCTGGGGGGGGGGGTCGTTTCACAAAGATCCTAAGTCGAATTTAACTCTAAGTTGGACTTAAGAAAAGCCGTAAGCATCTTAAAAGATATTTTGTAAAAGTTATTTTAAAAGGCATAAAATGTTGATTCAAATCATTCATAATTTCTATTATCAAGGAAATTTCATGTTCTTGATGTGGAATTTATGAAAAGTCTAAAATACTTGAATTGATGTTTTTTAATATGTTTAATTGTAATGCTACCAATGACTCTCCATAATGTTCAAGTCCAACTTTATAGAGTTAAGTTTGACTCAAGATATTTGTTAAACACCCCCCCCCCCCCCCCTGGTGCGGTAGATGGTCAGCAAGACTTGTAAATCCTTAAAATGCTAGATCGCTGCATTTGCAACAGTGCTAAAGGACGGATAATTACAATCACATTTATTCATTAATTCATCAGTTTTGTTGTAAATCACTGCATTCTTGCCACTTTGATGAACTACGTACACACAATATTTATTTTTGTTAAAGAGATTATTTTTAGTGCAGATTCTTGACCATCACTTGTAATTTTAAATTTCTTATGCTCTTGCAAGAACCCTCATTATGTTGTTGGGTTATGTACAAGTGTAATATGAGATTAATTCTGTACATTAAAATTTTTCTTGAAAATGTATTTGTCTCGGCATTGTTGTGTTATTCGAGTTGTAATGTTACATGTACATTAATTTTGAGTGTATAGGCATCGTATGTCGAGAAAACATGGCTTTATGTTTTCATTCTGGATTGTTTATCCTTCGGTAGATTGATTGTTTGACCCAGTAAGATAAAAAGAACCTCACAAAATCTTGCTGGTGATCATCTTTACAAAACCCATACAACTCTCATTTGCTTAAATAAGCACTTGGTGCTGGGCCAACTTTAGTCTAGTTCTGGACCTTTTTATTGATTTTTCTTATTCGCCGACTATGAGCGTTAAGCCGAGTGATGGCGCAATCCTTAGTTTTTGTTTTGTAATATAGTGACGGCGCGATCCCCGATTACCAGCGCGAATCGGGGATCGCGCCGTCTCTAAGGATCGCGCCATCACTCGGCTTAACGCTTATAGTCGGCGAATAAAAAAATCATTAAAAGGGTTCATAACTAGACTAGGTTTACCTACCCGGATGTCTTCATCTTAAGCACATGTTGTCGGGCCTATCAACCCGGATTTCCTTATCTGTCTAAGCTCTCTACTCTCTCGTTTGGCGCATGTCATTAATTTGTAATCTTAGACATTCAGTGTAAGTTTTGTTGGATTCTGTGAGAATTTAGTTTCTATCATTACCACGTACTACTCAAGCTCATCTTTAAAGGTAAAGACCAGTTATGGTCATGCGATTGCATTGTGAAAGAAACGTTGTGGAATCGACCAGAAAAGGTTGATCATCTAGCATCTAGCATCTGCAAGGTTCTGGAATCATCAAAATGATAAGAAATTTGGCCCATTCTTCGTAAAGTTACAAGCACTATACACAGAAAGATGTATATGGGACTACCCTATATCTCTCACAGACCATGAGAGAAACAAATTTACCAAATATATGAATTAGTAGGCGGTTTCCCGGCAAATTTTTTATCATCATGTATTAGTCAAAACATATTCTTTCACATGATTGGTGATGAGAGCTTCCATTTCATTTTTTGAAATTGGGGCGTTTCCAATACTGGTATTTACCTTTAAACGGTCTTGTATTCAAATCAGTAGACTGTATTGACTTGGTGGGGATGAAGGATTTCAGTCTGATTATGGTAGTGGACATACATTTAACAGCTAAATAATTCATATACAGTAGGCTTGCGGGTGCACCATGTGAGAGAGAGAGAGAGGGAGGATTAAGGAGTCCTGAAAAAATGACCTTTGGTAATCTTTCTTGAGGGTTTGTAGTCCTGAAAGGATTGTTTGGTAGAGTCTTGAAAAGTACTGTTGGTTATCTTTCTTAGCTTATAGTTCTAAGGAGAATTATAGCGCTTGGAGAGGATGAGTAGCGGGAGTAAATGTGCTATTTTTCAGTGTGATTATTGGACGTAATATGCTTGCCCAAGTTTGTGCCTTGTTATGGGGTTAATCCAAGGTGAAAACGAATACTATCCAGGAATTTAATAAAAGGAGGAGGACCCTGGCTTTGTGAGGTGTACTTTGAATCATCAGGTCATCGCGTCGGTGGGGTGGTCGCGTTACCCAACCTTCTGTGAAAACATGCCCCTTTATTCATAATGGGGGGGGGGGTAATCTTTGGCATTTTGGCAAGCTGAAAGTCGTCGTCAAGATAAACTTTCATATCAAAGGTCTGCATAAAATTGGTAAAAGGGTCTATTACGCCCCCCCCCCCCCCTCTCTCTCTCTCTCTCTCTCTCTCCTTCTATCGAATTTCGCTCTCTCTCTCGCCCACGCTCTTTCTGTCTCTCCCCCATTTTCTTTTTTCTCTCACTCTCATCGGTTATTGCTTTTCTCCTCAGATCCATTCTTGTAACATTTATTTTACCTTTCTCTAATGTTCTCTTAGTTTGTCTTTCGACTTACTTCGTTGTGAATTGAACAGAGACCATGATATTGATACTAATATTATACAATTTATTGTATATCACAAGAAAATCGTCCATAAAGATCGATATATATGAATTAAATTTGCAAGCATTTATGTGTTGAGTAAGATACACACTTCGTTTTCGATGCAATTGTAATATGTAATGATTAAATCATGCAACCTCTATAAAAACACTCTCAACCCTAATGAGGCCGGGGTGTTTGAGGTCTTGTGGGGGGGGGGGGGGGTTAATAAATGTCCTCCTCCCCCTATGAACTCGGCCGTGAACCGACTGATCGCCGCGAAAATTTGCGTGCATGTCAAGCGAAGTGTATAGAATACTATGGTAATTTCAATCTTTGAAAAGTTCACTTATTTGCATATTCATGGTGATTTATGCAAACGAGGTTGAACAATTCACATTTTTACCCCTAAATCATATATTCTTCATATTTAATCATTCATTTTCACTACATATATTCTTTACAGCATTTGGAATAATATTATAACAATTTTTTTTAAGGGCAATCCAATCCTTCTAATAAGTTCATTTGAATGAAAGCATACAAATCATGCAACCTCTAAAAAGTAATTTCCATTTTTGAAAAAATTTAGTCATTTGCATATTTATGGTAATTTGTGCAAACGAGACCTCGTACAATTCATATAAATCATACATTCTTCATATTGAAACAATCATTTTCACTACATATATTCTTTACACTATTTTGAATAATTACACAAACCACAACTAATATCGATTTGGGGGCTGACATGCAAATACAAAATGTCACGTGACTTAGTCCAATTTTCGAGAAAAAAAAATGTTTTAAAAGATGCGCAAGACTGTGAAAGCTTAAAAGTACCACTCAGATGTTAATAGGGACTGTAGACTGTATTGACTTGGTGGAGATGAAGGATTTCAGTTTGATTATGGTAGTGGACATACAGTAAACAGCTAAATAATTCATATACAGTAGGCTTGCGGGTGCACCATGGGAGAGAGGGGGAGGATTGAGGAGTCCTGAAAAAAATGACTTTTGGTAATCTTTCTTGAGGGTTTATAGTCCTGAAAAGGATTGTTTGGTATAGTCTTGAAAAGTACTGTTGGTTATCTTTCTTAGCTTATAGTTCTAAGGAGAATTATATTTTTATAATTAATAATTAATTACATTTTTACCCCTAAATCATATATTCTTCATATTTAATCATTCATTTTCACTACATATATTCTTTACAGCATTTGGAATAATATTATAACAATTTATAATATCGATTTGGGGGCTGACATGCAAAGACAAAATGTCACGTGACTTAGTACAATTTTCGAAAAAAAAAATGTTTTAAAAGATGCGCAAGACTGTGAAAGCTTAAAAGTGCCACTCAGATATAAGAGGGCAAGATCCCGGATCTCATCGAACAGATGATCAGATGACGAGATTCTGGCTCTCACGATGTCGACATCCTTTAGGTTTTTTCTGTTTACAAAGAGTTCTTAACACTGGAATATGGTAATAAGAAGATTATAGTCTCGTTGGGTAGTGTTGCTGCCCCCCCCCCCCTCCTCCCCCTCTCTCTCTCTCTCTCTCTCTCTCTCTCCCTCTGTCACATACATTATGTTATCTGTCTTATTTGTATCTCTCCACGCTAACACCCCCCCCCCCCCTCCTTATGGCTCACGTTCCTCTATAAGGATAATTGTATAGCGTCCTCATACAGCGCTATTAACAGAATAATCCCGGTTCCCGCCAAGAATCCAATGTTCTGTAGAATAGCCACGGTGACCTTGTTGCTTTTCCCGTCGTATTGGTGTAACATCGGAAGCTGAAAAGGATAAGAAAAATATATATACTCTCTGTTATACAGTGGAACCTCGTTATAAGGACCTCTGATGAAACAAGGTATCTGTTTATAACAAGGTGATTTTGCAGGTCCCATCTCTTTATATATATACAGGCGCGGATCCACAGGGGGAGGGGGGCGACGGGTCCGCCCCCCGAAAAAAGGAGTAAGTGTTCTACCCCCTCCCCCTCCCGCTTATTCACCGGTTGGCTGATTCGACGCTAAATTATTCCTCAAAAATTGGACAAAAAAAAAGTGCCTCTTACCCTCCCCACCCCCAAAAACATAAATTATAGTCTTTTTAAAAAATAGATCCTGAGTCTCCATTCCTATCTAATTGATTATCACAAAGCATATACATTTCATGTACATATTTTTAGGGTATCTAGCTTTGACTAAATTCGTGATGATCCGAATTCGGATTACATCGTTTATAGAAAGTCTCGGGTACATTTGGGGAAAATAAAAACATATCTTTGGCACAATTCGGTACAACTTCATCGGGACAACTTCGGGGAACTTCGGGGAACTTCGTGCTTACCATGTCAACGAGTCCAACGTAGAGGAACATGCCAGCAACAGCAGCGAAGATCCATTCCCGAACGGTCTCGGTCTGTCCGAGCGGGATCCCGACCCACAAGCCGAGGAATGCCGAACAGGCGCACATCATATTCATCAGGAGTGCCGTTCGGAGTCGTATGCCCTGCTTTATGAGGACGGCCAGATCACCTAAAGGGAACAAATTAGAATAGAGTCGAACGATTCGTTTTAAAGTCGCAGTACGCACAAATGTAATTGGACATCAATTTCGAGAGTTATTTTACTTGCATGGTAATTATGATCAGTGATTGGCGTTTTTTTTTTATCATTATCGTCATCCCTAACATCAACCACATCACAATAATTTTCATCGTCACCATTATCATTCCCACCACCATCAACATAATTATCAAAAACATCATCACCACCACAAGCATCACCAATAGGCATGTTTATCATTTTCATCATCATCATCATCACCTTCACCATCATCTAAATTACACTTATCATCTGGATCCTTCTCCTCCTCCCCATCATGACAATTTTCATCCATTTTTCATCACCATCATCATCGTCACCACCACCACCACCATTTTTCACATTATCATTTGAGCTGTTGTCCTTATTATCATAATTTTCTTAACCATCACAATCATTACCAGCCCCTTTGCCATTATAATTTCATCATCACCATCGTCTTCTCCTTCACAATTAACATCATCATCATCATCACAGTCATCATCATCATCGCCATCATCATCATTATCATCACCCTCTTCTTCATTGGAAAACGAGGCTTATATACCTAGTTTTTGAGAGAGTTCGGGCCAGATCGAGAACAGTTATATACTTGTTGAGTCCAGCGGCGAAGTCGAGTATAAATGTGGCTCCTTTAAGACCATCACCACAACCACTATCATCATAATCATCATCAACATTATATGATCGCCATGGTCATCATCAAAACCGCCATCATTATCATCATTAAAATCACATTATCATCCTCATTTTAGCTGCCATCCTTACTATCGAAATTGTCAACACTCTCATCATCATCATTATAACCATCGTCATCATCATCATCATCATTGTAATTATCATTATCAAAATCGTCTTCATCACCGTCATCATCATAATCATCATTATCACCACCACCACCACCATCACCACCACCACCACCACCACCACCACCACCACCATCATCATCTCCTTCATCATCACTCGCCATGCACAGCCACCAACATCAGCATCATCAACATCATCTCCACCACCATCATCAACACGGTCATGAATACTTAGTTCGTGCGGGAGTTCGTGGCCGAGGACAGTTTTAGGAAGACCACTGGTGACACTAAGGGTGTAACCTTCTCCTCTTACTACCACTATCATCAACAACACCATTTAAAGCATTATTTCACCATTGTCATCATCTCAATCGCACTTTTTCATCATCATCACCATATCCTCCTTTTCCTTTCTTTTTCCTCCTCATCCCATCATCACCATCATCACCATCATCGCAACCACCATCATCATCAACCTCATTTTTAGCACTATTTATCATCATTATAATCTTCATCATCATCACCGTAATCAGCCCCACCATCACCACCACCATCATCACCGTCATCGGTGGTAGACGAGGTTCAATACCTAGTTCGTGCGGGATCTCGTGGCAGAGGACAGCTATACTAGTTGAGAGTCCGGCAGCGATGCTCAGTGAGAAAGCCGCCCCTATGGCTAAACCGTCACCGAAGTTATGCAGCGAGTCGCCCAAGATGATCATCATTGCTACTGGATTGCAACCTTGTATTAAAGAAGAAGGAAAAAGAATCATAAACAGTCGAAAACAACGTTAATTAAACACGGACTAAAAATAATGGTAGGCTCATAGTTATACAAGTCAATAATATTCAATTGAAACACAAGGTATGGAGAGATGAATGATGAAAAGTATACCCATCTATTCAAGAAGGATACCTAAACTACCTAATAGTGTCAGTGAACAGTCGAACTACCAGTATTATCAGGACTAATAATGTGAAATATTAAGGCTTTGATTTGTTAAACACATAACAAGTATCGCTATAACCCTAAACAGGATCGTGGAATAGTTTACGCATTAAAGGTTATAAATGTATAAGATACTTTAGTTTAATGTTTTCTTATCTATTGCACACGAGGTGTCAATTTGCTGACGTAGCAATGCGTCAACGACTGACGCGCCGTCTGCCATGCGCCATGTGACGGTGATATTATATAACAAGTGAATGGAAATTGAACAGCGCGAAAACATCCCTAGCGCATATTGCCTTCACATGTTTGAATAGCACGCAATGTAAAAGCTCATGTGATTTCGTGCTGATGCCCCACGCAAAAGTTCTGTGACAACTTTACACACGACAAATTAAATGCAAGGATATCACTAGCTTAGAACGGTTGTTGTAAATTGCCATTGATAACGGATTCGATAAAACGTGGCCCAGAAACATCGATCAGGCTTAAGCTGTTTCAGTTACCCAATCTTTCAAATCCCTGTTGGAAACAATGTGTCATTTCCATTGCGTCAATACCCGCGCTATAATCAAGACTATATAGAAGCAATTAGTGCATACGTCCGTCATTGAAAGCAAATTTGTTCCGTTGCATACTTCTCTTGTACGGTAGACACGGTCATATTTAATTTTGAAAAATTAATCTATGGAACCGTCAATAGTCTTGTGTGTCACCTATTGGAATTTGAAAACATGACAATGACGTATTTCGTGATCCAATTATGATTTTTTTTTTTGCGGCTATGCATTAGGGTTATAACATTAACCCCGACTTTATTTTAAGAAAATGGTTGCGATCGAGCTGATATCATTCTTACATGCGAGTCAGTCATTGACCCAGTCGTTGACGCAGTCGAGCGTCAGGAAAATGACGCATCGTATGCTACGGAGAGGCCGTAGTGTGACGTAATAAAAAACTTACCCCTTACACAGCAATCAGTATCTTCGGTTGAGGGTGGTAGTTCAGCTTCAAATGCCTTTGCCTCATTAGCTGTCTATGAATGAGAAAAAAATGATACGATAGACGTTGGTATCTTACGAAAACCCACATCGTTACTATATGGAGCTACAAAATACCGTATCACGACAATTACCCACTGGACAATCACCCCCCCCCCCCCCGGCAAAATCGGTCGGTTTGTCGTCGATTTGGCGGTAAGACCGAAGCATGACTGTGAAATGGTAATGCAGGAAAACCTGCTTGGGACCCGACAACATACTAATGTATGTCATTAGAATGAATGGCAAATAAACAGTCAGATTGGTTTAGAATTAATCGGACTGGAGTCTGGTATTTTTTTCGGTGTGACTGCAGAGGTACTCCGAAAACGGTCGATTTTTGAGAAAAATAGATGTCCTCCGTTAATGATACAATTTTAGAATAATTCATAATCATGATAACAACCGTCAATTTCTCGACTTTATACTCATCTTATAAAACAAATACATGTCTTTAGCTTGTGCATTAGTATTATGCACTGCACTTGGTTAAGTCACAATGAGACGAACAATGAACTCGGCAAGTCTCGTTCATTATCCTACTGTGACTTACCCTGCGTGCAACGCACATCCACTAATGCACTTGCAAACATGTATATATATTCAAGAAGCAAAGAGAAGAGGTAAAATGAAGCTTACTAGTTCGCTCTTCGATTCTGAGTGAGATACTTTATTGTTTCCATTAGCAAACGATCCTCGCTTCATGGAACCGTAGGAACGCCCCTGGTGCCCGTTGTCTGTCATCTCCACATCCGCGGAAAGTGTATCGTTGTAGTGACCACACTGTCAAAAGTAAATAAAATGATTTGAAATCAAATTGTAACCATTCGATAATATAGATGATAATATCCGATCATTATTTAGACTAATAGGTAGGCCTACATGTATGATTTAATTCATACAAAACTGGTTGGTAACATACGTCACACAAAAGTCAGACTCGTGATAACTTGATAATGATGACGATGAGGATGAAGATAACAATAATAGAAATATCAGACATAGTAATAGTGATAATAATAGAAATAATGATAATGATATTAGTATTTATATAAGTAATGTTTTCTCGGGCAATTTCGATTTATTTTTAGTCCATTTGAAATCAAAAGTGTAAATTCAGTTTACCGCAAAACAGTATTTCGACGGAGACTAGTGCCAATAAAACTTAGCATGGGCACTAAACAAAATCAGATAGGGATGTCTCTACCTCCCAGCATCACCCACCCTCGTCGAAATTTAAAATGAAAAAAGAAAAGAAAACAACAAAAAACAAAAATAGAAAATAAACAATTGTTTAATATAACAAGTGCATGAATCTAAACAATTGCCACACAAGTGTTAATTGCAAATTAAGCTTAGTACACCGTGCTGATATTTTGTTGTTATAGGGAGGGTGACGAGACCTGCAGATGATAAGAGTCACCCTTTAATCTGTGGATTTGTTGATTCGCATTGTATTTTACGAGTACAACCAGCGGCACCACACCCCCCCCCCCCCCTCCCACCTCCCAATACAAGCCAAGCCCACCTCCTACAATGCCTTAATGTTACACACACCACACGTGCCAGCCTTAACCTACATTACGCGCACTGGGAACAGCGCATTGTTGCGTCATATAAGAAAACCTACGTAGCACAACTTAGCAGCGCGCTATGCATAGCGTAACTCTTGGTACTATGGAAATATAAACACACACACAAAGTGAGTACGTATAATGCCTTACCAAAAGGCACTTTAGCGCATCACATCGGTTTCGCGGAACCTGGGTCACCGTATTACGAGACCACTGCTCTACCAACTGGGCTATCGCGCCTTCTGGAATTCACATGATTTAAAATGGCGGCCTACCTTCGTGAAACTCGTCATCTGCTCGAAGACGAAAAAGACGTAGATGGCCATCTGGACGACAAGACACTTCCAGACATACGCCATCTCCGGGCTCGTAGGCGTATGAGCGCTGTGACCGCTGCTGTCGTGAGAGTGAAGACCCACAGCCTTTAACAGATTGAGAAAGAAACGATTCTATGTATAAGTATGTGATTTATTGACCGTAATCAGGAAATTCGATTTCCACTGGTTGGTTTTCAAGAAATACAATCTAATACACATAATGGGACAAATTACATACAACTAACTTATTCATACCCCTTGTATTTTTTTTTTGAAAGGTGGACTGGTTAGATAAAGGCCTTTGATATGTCACATTCTCAAGAAACATATATCTGGACAAATCAGTTTTTCAGACGCTAAAAAAGTTACAAAACTTGCCTGGGTAGGAGTAATTTAGTTGATAATTTTACTGTACATAACATTAAAAAATATATATATATATATATATATATATATCGTCGTTATATTTTATTCTTACAATCATTTACATCAAAAGCATTACCAGTCAGCATACACAAGGGCTCAAAAAAAAAAGAATGGTAAAATTCCCTTCTCGTGATATAAATGCCCATCGCTAACCTCTGGTTCAAAGATGTAAGACAGCATCACCAGTCAGCATAGAAAAGGGCACAAGTAAAATGGAGAAAGAGTGGTGAAATCCTCTTTAGGGATAAACTGCCCATTGCTTACCTGTGGTAAAAGATGTAAGACAGCATCACCAGTCAGCATGAAAAAGGGCTCAATAAAAAAAAAGGAGTGGTGAAATCCCTTTTAGGGATAAACTGCCCACTGCTTACCTGTGGTAAAAGATGTAAGACAGCATCACCAGTCAGAGTAGCCACAGCTAAAGCTATCATTGTTTGTATGGTCTTGTCATAGACACCCTCTGACATACACGGGACGAACAACCCACCGAGCACCGCAGACAGGCTGATGATGAAAACTGCTACAGTGCCGTATCCCCACACTTAAAAAGAAGAGACATAAGAAGAGAATACAAAATCGATTGGTTATTTATTCATATATTTTTAATCCAAATTTATTTATTAAACTACAGGTTCTATCAAATATTACACAAAAGTAAAGGATCGGTTAATAATTTATGTATGTGTTTTTCAATCTATTTATGAAACAACAGATTCCATCAAATATTTATTTAAGTAGTCTAATGTTGAGTTTTTATTATACATTTCGTGAATTTCACCGTAAATAGATAAATACAATATATTAATCAACAATTTAGTTGAATTTAAAAATCTTTATACAGAGGAAATCTGGTCTCTGTTTCATAAAAATCTTGTTTAAATTTGTATACAAATTTTTTCACTCACCCAAATATTAAAACGCAACAATTTCAATAGCTTATACATATTTTTTATCTTGGTATTTATAACAAGCTTTATGTTTGGAGAAACGATCACTCGGTAAAACTGCACAAGAGAGGGAATCGTTCAATGACGCACCCCAAAATAGTAGGCGGGAGTCATAACGAGCAAGACAATGAAAGAAGTTTATTACATTCATCAAGACAAAAATAGCTGGTGATACATCAACATAATCACTAATCAGTTACACAAAATCAAAATATTATTTCTACCTCAATGAACCCCAAACATGGGAGGCATTGGTGCAGGCGCGCCGGAAGCAGTTTGGGATTGGGGGGGCAAACATTCCAGGGGGCTCACCTTCCGAGGGCAGTGACGTAATGAGAAAAAACGTTCGGAAGGGGGGGGGGCAGACGAAAAATCTGCATCACCACCAGTCTTACACGTTACATGCAGGTCCCGCGGAACGTTTTCAAAGTGAAGTATTAACGATCAGGTAGAGCGTAAATTGGCGTGGGGTCCAGCCTCGGCAGGGTGTCAAGGGGCTGAGCCCCCGGAAGCTCAGAGATTTTAGGTATTTAATTACGGTTAGATGAGCATCCAGGGGCCTCTTTAAGGCCATTGACGTGTTACAGAGGGGGGGGGGAGCCCCCAGAAGCTCAGAGGTTTTAATATTTAACTACGGTCAGATGAGCAACCAGGGGCCGCCCTAGGGCACTTGGTGGGGTCCAGGGGGCAGGGGCCCCGGAAGCTCAGGGGTTTTAGGTATTGAATAATGGTCAGATGAGCATCCAGGGGCCCGCCTTATAGGGCCCTTGGTGGGGTCCAGGGGGCAGAGCCCCCGGAAGCTCAGGGGATTTAGGTATTTAATAATGGTCAGATGAGCATCCAGGGGCCCGCCTTATAGGGCCCTTGGTGGGGTCCAGGGGGCAGAGCCCCCGGAAGCTCAGGGGTTTTAGGTATTTAATTACGGTCAGATGAGCATCCAGGGGCCCGCCTTAGAGCCCTTGGTGGGGTCCAGGGGGCAGAGCCCCCGGAAGCTCAGGGGTTTTAGGTATTTAATTACGGTCAGATGAGCATCCAGGGGCCCGCCTTAGGGCCCTTGGTGGGGTCCGGGGCGGAGCACCCGTAAGCTCTGGGGTTTTAGGCATTTAATTACGGTCAGATGAGCATTTTTTATGCCTTATTTGTGACATTGGCAGGTCACTTATTTTTTCTCTCCGTCTTTCTTTCTTTTTCTCTTTAACATACTTTTTCAAAAAGTGAGGGGGGAGGGGCTCGAGCCCAGCCACTTTGCAGACCATGTCATAAAGGCTTCTAAATAAGCGTATTTTTCGCCCGACTGTAATTTGGGAATTTCTTATTTTCCAACAAACGCATAAAAAGGTATGACTTAAAAAAAAATGGAGAAAAAATACCGGAAAATCATGTCATAACAGCAACATGTGTAAATCACTGGTATCGTATAGATATACCCCCCCCCCCATCAGTACGCCAGCGTTCAGGGGCTCATGTCTTCTCACCCCTATAACAAAACCAAAAAAACAGACACGTTTTCCCATTCTCGCACAATATGTCCACGATATGCGCGTATCGCTATTATAAACCGTATAGGTAGCATGCGCAATGTTTATAAAAATTTAATTCCTGTGAACTTTCCTTTTCTTTGAATGGAATGGTATATGTGCTTTAATTCAGGTTTTTATTATTGTTATGTTCTTTTGGGTTAAAAATACAAACCATGTTTATTCCTTTACTGCTTTTTTTTTTTTTTTTGGAGGGGGGGGGGGCGTTTTGGGGGGGGGGGGCAAAAATACGTTTTGCCCCCCCACTTTTTTGACTGGGGGGGCAACTGCCCCCCCTGCCCCCCCCCCCCCCCCACTTCCGGCGCCTATGCATTGGTGAATAACAAACGAGAAAGTGAAAGAAGTGTTTCACATTCATTAGGAAAAGCAAGGCTGGTGATATATCAACGGAATATCTAAACAGTTACATTAAATCAAAATATTATTACTCACTTTTTGCTTTGGAGATTTCCGATGGCTCAGTGGTTGTAATTTCGCATGCTCCACTCAAGATTTGTTGCACCAGTGACGGAGAAAGTTCGTTGAACTGTTCTTCGGTGATTCCAGCTTCATGGTCAATACCGTATATGTCGAGAAGTTCTTCACTCGAAAAGCAGGTCTAGAGACAAGAGCGAAAGAGAGAGGCATAAAGTAAAAGGGGGAAATCCGTTATTACTCTGATCTGTTACGGTTTAGGAACAGCATTCTACATGTACTTTGCTAATGAGCCGATTGAGCTTTCCCTGTTCTAATGAAGCATTAAATAATATGAAATCTTGATTTTTCTTGTTTTTTCTTTATCATATGACTATTGAGATGCTTGGCCATTAAAGAAGTCACATGTTTGAATGTTTGTATCAAATGCAATTTCTTCCAAAATCAGATCGTAGTCGGGTCGTTTGGTGTGCGGTGGGCTTTAGAGTATATAGTAGTCTAACAGCCATACTTTTGCGTAGACTTCATAATTGTGGGTGACGTAATCTTTAATCATGCAGGTGAATTCATGAACGTTTGTCGAACAAATGAATAGGCCTGATGTTAGAAAAAAACATTTCGAATAATCGGGTGCATGATCATAAAGACACTAAAGACTTGGATCATTTTACGTTGATTCCGTCGCACATGAAAAACACGATTAGATACATGGGGGTGTTTCACAAAGATCCGAAGTTGAACTTATCTCTAAGTTGGACTTAACAATAATGGAAAGCTGTGAGATTTATTGAAAATATTTTGTAAAGGCATAAAATGTTGATTCACATCATTTATATTTTCTGCTATTTTTGGAGATTTCATGTTCTTCATGTGGAAGTTATGGAAAGTCTGAAATACTGTTTTTGAATATTTTTCATTATAAGGCTACAAATGGCTCTCAGTAGTATTTAAGTCCAACTTAGTTTCAAGTTCGACTCACAATCTTTGTGAAACACCCCATGGAATTTTAACCTATAGACTCCTTAAACCGGACAGTACGTTCAACTGTTGAGAAAAGAACGCCAGCTGATCGACAAATGATATACGGTCAAACAACCATGTTGCCTCCTTTTTCACTCTCGAATTAGCACCAGGGCCCTCTTTCATAAAACTTGTTATGAATAACAAGTTGCAATAACTACGCTACTAAAATGGTGGCTTTTGATTCGCTGAAAGCAACTTTGTCAGAAGAATTTAGCATTTGTTGTTCGTAACAAGTTTTATGAAACACAGCCCTTGAATATGACATGTGTCTCTTCGCTACCATTCCACTCTCGTTTTGTTCGTCAAAGAGTCGTTCACGCAGTTCTGCGTCAAATTATTGACGCATCGTTAGCTATTAGTACAGCCTGTAATGTCACAATATTGAATCCCGTGAGATAATTGTGCCAAAATTGATTTTTTTTTTGGCTAACTTTGTCAATTTGGGGGTGCTGAATCCAAAAAACTTTGGTACCATTTTTTTCGACCACGTCTTAGGCGGCCATTTTGAATTTCAAAATGGCCACCATAAAAAATGCATTTTTTACCATTATTTCATATTATAGACATTGGAGAAGGTGCAAATGTGGGATAAAATGTATGCTTATGATGTCTGATATATCAATACACATTTTTATAAAATTTTGCTTTATTTCGATTGGCCGCCATCTTGAAATTCAAAATGGCCGCCATTGCTAATCCTATTTTATCTCATGTCTCAAGTTATAAGCACCTGGAAAGGTTTGTACCGTAACAGTATCATAATATTGATGCTATGTGTGTTTTCAAACAAAACACAAGCTCCCAGTAACTGACCATTCGAATTGGCCACCATTTTGAAATTCAAAATGGCCGCCATGGAATAACATTTGCTATATTAATTCATTTGAAAGTACCTTAGAATCATCCATTTTGAGAGATCATCTGTATTTAAAGCTTGCAGGACCTGGTACATAGAATACCGGCTGTCATCTTGATCATCGTATATATGCCTAAACGCATCACCCCCCCCCCCCCTTCTTCCACTCGGGGGGGGGGCTTAATTATAACATATAACAGTTACTGAATGTGGTGTTAAAGAAAAACTAGAAAAATAAATGCCTTGGACTGGACGTATTAAAAACTTCAGTGTGCAAATACAGGCCTGTTATTCCAGAGATAAGACATGATGAGACACGCATCACATCAGAATGCAGTATCACGTGTCTATGCAGATTGCCAGCATACATCTTTGATATGACATGTGCTCCCCATGTGCTCTCACCCACGTGGATGTATGTGTATAGATACACTATGTAAGTCTGTGTCCCATACAGATTACACACAACTGACAGATTGTCAGCAAAATGCGTAGGCATTAAGGGAAGACGTAGCCAATCATCAAGAAAAGCAGTCAATCTTATGGCGCAGCAAATGTTGCTTAACTTCAAGACTGACCGTCAAGCAGCATATTCACCAGAATCAGATGCCGAATTCAGAAGGAGGCATGAAACGCCGTTATCAGTAGGATTGGCACTCACAATACACAAGAAGACAAGAAGTAAAGATCTAGTTGATCTTCTATCCCATTTGAACATTGGATGCTCGTATGATAAGGTGCTGCAAATTGAAAAGCGGATTGCCAGTGGAGCTGCAGAAAGGATGGAGACATCTGGTGGGTTTTGTTTGCCACCTTTCATTGAGAAAGGAAAGTCTCTATTTTTCGCAGCGGACAATATTGACTTCCTTGAAAACACTGCCGACGGTCAGAACACTCTCCATGGTACCATTCTGGTAATCAATCAGAACCAGGGGGGGGGGGATAGTGACTCAACCACAGGTCTCCCGGTCAGTGAACCACTCCGGATTCCAGACGATGTCAAACCCATTGATGTAGACATCAAACTACAGCATCCACCATCTCTTGAAGTCAAAACAATCACTGCCAGTTCATTTGAGTTTGGCTCCTTTCAGCATGCCATCAGCGAAAATGAGATGTATGACAAGGCGTGGTTCATGGCATCCTTTTCTACAAGGTCAAATACAACTTTAAGTGCAACACACCCTGTAGCTGCAAATGAATCTCTACACATTGATATTTCTCAACTGACTGAGCCTCTTGATAGTCAATCACCGCTTACAGAACAATCAAGTGATGATGAGACTAGCCTCCACGTCCATTCTGATCAGAACAGTGATACACAACCTGAGGACGAGCAATCTTTGGAGTCGGTTACTTCAGAACTACTTCGTCACTGAAGAAGACAGTAGTGCCAATCTGGGCAGCCACCAATTCCTTACTCGTTCAGGCACAGCAGAAAGGAAATCAATCCTTGACAAAGAGTGCGATTGTTGCTCCTCTGTTACGCCGACCTCCCACTGACTATTCATCTCTCTTTACAATCTTAAGTCTTGCTCAAGGGATATCAGCTGCTGTGGTTGGTCCTCATAAGAAAACAGTCATCACCCTTGATCTTGATTTGTATGAGAGAGCAACCAAACTTCCATCTTCCACAGGGAACAAGAACTGGATTCTTCGAATTGGTGAACTCCATGCCTGCTTCGCATCACTGCATGCCATTGCAAAATATCTCGAGGACAGTGGCTTGGAATCTATTAGCATTGAAGCAGGCCTCTTTTCCCCTTCAACGATCCGCCAAATATTCACTGGAAAGTGGTTTAAACGTGGTATTGAATTCCACATGACCAACATCATGGCGTGCTATGATCTCCTGTTTGAAGCATCAGTACATCATGAGCACTTGGACAGCATGATTAAGAAATGCGAAGAGCTTCGTAAGAAGTTACACGAGAGAGATAGTGACATTAAACAGGTTTTTGAGGAGGTAACTTCGATGATTAAAGAGCATTATCAAACCACAATCATCCAAGAGAATGACGAGATGGCAACATTCTTACTCAACTACATGAAGAAAGTTGAGAGTTTACTGCATGTGATTCGAGCTAGCAGACAGGGGAACTGGGAGCTGCATCTCGCTTCCATGGAAGAGCAGGTCAAGTACTACTTTGCACATGACTTATACAAGTATGCTAGGCTCGTGCCAATCTACCTTCTTCAAATGCATTCGCTGAAGACATCTTATCCTACTACTTGGGATGCACTAAAGGCAGGGGACTTCATGGTCACTAAATCTGGCATCCCATTCACGAACCTATTTGTTGACCAAACATTGGAACAGCTGATCAGGGAAGTGAAAATAGCTGGCGGCATCACTGGAATAACACAAAATGAAGAAGCACTGGGTAGGTTTTTCCTGATTGCCCCTGAATTGGTCATCCTCATTCAAGACTTCCAAGATGCTTACTGTTGTACCACCAATGACTCTCAAACTACGAAGGAGCACTATCAGCTCAGTGGTTCTGTGGCTCTTCGCATGCACAGAAATTCCTCAACAATCAAGAAAGCAATCATACGACACTGCGAGGGCAATCCATTTGAAATCAGGTCAATTAAGCTGATGAATATGGTATCTAACATGCAAGTTCCTGAAGCTTTCAAGGAGGACATTCTTGAAAGAGATGTAAAGGGAAAGATCATGTTCCAAGAATTTGTATCTGACAGAATAGTTGAGTCATCGGCCAAGAAATCTATCTGGGACCCAATGAGGAAGGCCAAACTGAAGACATTCAGCTCTTGCAGAAAGAAGACACAGTGTAAGATTGGAGCCAAGCTCGTCAAGCTAAGAGAGGATCGCCAACTTCTTGCAAGATTTCTCGTTGTTCAGCAGTCCAGACCTGGAATGATACATTCACTGGGTGACACAATTGGAAAATATGAATTTTCTGTCATTCCTAGGTCGCTATTTACCTCAGATGGCCTTCTCCTTATCCCATCAGACAAAAGCTCTTTCATCCATGCCATAGAAACCTATGGAACTGAACCGAATAGTCAGTCTGAAGACCAGATCAATGAGCAGCAAGATTCACCAAACATAGAGACATCAGGAGAAGACAAGAAAACAGACAAACTGTGCATCATCGATGCCATGGCAGTTGTCCAGGCCATAAAGAAGTCCCCATCAATGGTTGACTGCTCCGACTTTGCTGCTGCTTTTGTTAGGAGCATAAGGAAAATTGCATCCCAGTACGATGAAGCACGTGTTATCTTTGATAGATACATTGATGATTCCCTCAAGGCACAGACTAGAGGGAAAAGGACTGCAGGTATTGAACCAGTGAAGTTTGATATCAAGGACAATACCAACATCAAGCTCGTTTCACTGAAGACTCTTCTGTCTCACAACTACACCAAGTCGCAACTGACAGAATATCTTGGAAAGGCTGTTCTGCATGAGTATACAAATAGTAGCAAGAACGTTGTTGTCGTCTACGGAAATGCTACATATTCCAACAAGCCAGATATGTTTGATCCAGAACTCACCCATCACACACATGAGGAAGCGGATACACTCATCCCATTGCATGTACTGGATGCTACCTCAAAAGCAGCAGAGAACATCATAGATATTGATGTTTATTCTCCAGACACTGACGTCTTTGTATATCTGATGGATCTTTGTTCTACACACAATGTCTTAGGTCGCCTTTGCTTCATCACTGGAAAGGGAAATGCGAAACGTACAATTGACATTGCTGAGAGATGTTCTGCAGTTGGTAGCGAAAAAAGCAAAGGTTTGCTTGGTCTACATGCATTCAGTGGTGCCGATTGGGGTGGTAAATTTGCAGGCATCTCAAAGAGCAGATGGATCAAGCAGTATTTGGGCCTTGACCCAGAATGTGACATAGTCCATGCATTCCAAACATTAGGTGAAGAAGACTTCAACCAGGAAAGTGTGTTATCAGTCTTGGAAGACTTTGTCTGCAAGGTGTATGCTAGAAACAGCAAAGCCACAAAAGTGACTGACCTTAGATGGGAGTTATTCAGGGCAAAAAATCTTGAGGCAGAAAAGCTCCCACCAACCCTTGGATCCTTGACACCACACATCCAGAGGGCAAACTTCGTAGCCAGAGTCAACAAGGGATACAAAGTTCCAAAACCAAAGCTGCCCCCTCTAGATGGAAATGGATGGGAGCTTTCCCCAGAAGGAACATTCAGTGCAACCAAGTGTTTAGAGCTTCCTGCGCCGAAGGCAGTCATGGAATTGGTCAAATGCTCATGTCGGAAGGAATGCAAAAGCCATTGCTCTTGCAAGAAGAACCATCTGCCTTGCACAGCCCTATGCAAGTGTTGTGACTGTGAAAATACACAGGACTATGATGTGAATAGCCCCGATGTTGACTAGGTGAATATAAAATTGTAGATTATAAGAAATTGTTGTTTCAACGTCGCAACTAAACTCACATCCATAAGATTAGTTGTCATTTTAGACACAGTTGTAAGGAGGTACATTTGGTAGACATTTGGTCTTTGAAATCACAATCGCATGATATATCAGTCTCAGGTTATGCCATGCATTATATGTCATTATTCAATTCAACATATCGCAATATAAAGCAGGAGTTGACTGCCGTGATTGATTCTAGAATCACATGCCTTCCAAAATGATTGATTTCGCATTTTAAGCGCTCCAATACCCAATATGTGTTACAAATCTGAAATACCATATTATGGCGGCCATTTTGAATTTCAAGATGGCGGCTAATTAGAATGGTCATCATTAAACGAAGCATGTATTTCCTTTTAAAGCATGTATATCATCATAATGATGATACTATAACAAGTTTTAACCTTTCCATGCACTTCTAACTTGATATTCAAGTTGAAATAGGCTTAACAATGGCGGCCATTTTGAAATTCAAAATGGCGGCTTATCCGGAACATAGCACAATTTCATGGAAATTTGTATTACTATATCAGACATCAATGCCATGCTTTTTATCCGAAATTTGAACTTTCTATGATGTCTATAATATGAAATAATGCTCAAAATGCAACTATTTATGGTGGCCATTTTGAAATTCAAAATGGCTGCCCAAGACGTGGTCGAAAAAAATGGTACCAAAATTTTTTAGATTCAGCACCCCGAAATTGACAAAATTAGCCAAAAAAATTAATTTTGGCACGATTATCTCACGGGATTTCATAGTAGCCTCTACTATATGTGCATAACACATTATGTCAATACTCCTTACCGTTGTAACATTCGCAACGTGTGAATGGCTATGATTGGCGTGGTCGTGATCATCAGCCAATACTGTAGCTCGCTTCTCTATGCCCCGCCCCTTCGAGCGTGTTGCCATGATATCCCTCCTCCTACGGGTGTGTTCGTGGTCATGGTCGTGTTCATGGTCGTGGTCTTGGTCGTGGCCGTGGCCGTCTGTAGCTCGCTTCTCTATGCCCCGCCCAGTCAAGCGTGTTGCCATGACATCCCTCCTCCTACGGGTGTGTTCGTGATCGTGGTCGTGGTCGTGGTCGTGGTCTTGGTCGTGACCGTGGCCGTCTGTAGCTCGCTTCTCTACGCCCCGCCCCTTCGAGCGTGTTGCCATGACATCCCTCCTCTTACGGGTGTTTTCGTGGTCGTGGTCGTGGTCGTGGTCGTGGTCTTGGTCTTGGTCGTGGCCGTGGCCGTCTGTAGCTCGCTTCTCTATGCCCCGCCCCTTCGAGCGTGTTGCCATGACATCCCTCCTCCTACGGGTGTGTTCGTGTTCGTGGTCGTGGTCTTGGTCGTGGTCTTGGTCGTGGCCGTGGCCGTCTGTATCTCGCTTCTCTAAGCCCTGCCCCTTCGTGCGTGTTGCCATGACATCCTTCCTTCTACGGGTGTGTTCGTGGTCGTGGTCGTGGTCGTGGTCTTGGTCGTGGCCGTCGCCGTCTGTAGCTCGCTTCCCTATGCCCTGCCCCTTCGAGCGTGTTGCCATGACATTCCTCCTCCTACGGGTGTGTCCGTGGTCGGGGTCATGGCCATGGTCGTGGTCATGTTCGTGGTCTTTGTCGTGGCCATGGCCGTCTGTAGCTCGCTTTTCTATGCCCCGCTCATTCGAGCGTGTTCCCATGACATCCCTCCTCCTTCGGGTGTGTTCCTGGTCCTGGTCGTGGTCATGGTCGTGGTCGTGGTCTTGGTCGTGGCCGTGGTCGTCTGTAGCTCGCTTTTCTATGCCCCGCCCATTCGAGCGTGTTCCCATGACATCCCTCCTCCTACGGGTGTGTTCGTGGTCGTGGTCGTGGTCGTGGTCTTGGTCGTGGTCGTGGCCGTCTGTAGCTCGCTTTTCAATGCCCCGCCCCTTCAAACGTGTTGCCATGACATCCCTCCTCCTACGGCTGTGTTCGTGGTCGTGGTCGTGGTCGTGGTCCCCACCGATTCCAAGCTCAATCAGCATGTGTGCGAACTCTGCGTTGCGTTATAAAGAGAGAGATAGAGGGAGAGACGGAGAAAGGCAGAGGGATGAGGCAAATTGTCATATTTATTATAACAACCGGGGAATTTTCAAAAAATCTGTACAAATTATTTTGCAAATTCGATTGTCAATGGATTTTCCCTACTTTTACGTTTCAAGTTCGCTGTTCCACTGCACAAACAAACAATGGACATTTAACTGACTGATTTAACCTCCCCCCCCCCCCTACCCCCTCCTATTTTTTGTTAGTCTTAATTAGATGCAAATGCCCAAGAAACATGCGCTATTCATCAAAGAAAACTTAATTATTCCGAGAAATCGACCTTATAATTTTGTAAGCAAATTCAATAACATCGAGCATTAATTCTGGAAAGGTACGAACAGAACCATTGCTTGATTATTACAATATCCCGAAATGATTTAACACAGGAAACACGATAGGTTTTAAGATCCCCGTGGGTTGATATCGTGACAGTCTGTACGAACGTCCTACGATCGTCGTATTCTCTTATGCTCACCATCTTCCGGAATGACGCCCGACGTCGCATACGTCTCGAATATTGCCTCGGTGAAGTCCTTGGTCGAGGGCAGAGTGGGTTCTCCTATGCAATGCCCTTGTAGCAGACCGGCGACCACGGCCTGCGCCGCGTACTGGAGCTCGACATCGTCAGCCCCTGTTTCGTGGTCATCCACGGTTTCGTCGAAGACAGATTCAACGCTAAAGCACTATTAAAAGTACAATAAAACGAGAGGGGTCGCAATTATTTGATGATTCTCTTATAGTTCATGGAATGTTCATGATTGATAAAATGATTACAATATTTAAAAAAAACACATAGTTCTACCCCTAAAGATAGAGATTAAACAATACAAAAATGAAAAAATAACAACATCACAACACACACACAAAACAAAAGACGCACGTCTCTCCATACCTCATGCACACACACATACATATATATTCAAGCAAACACACAGCACCTTTATACAACAAAAATAATGTTATATTTCAAACTCCACCAGTCAATATTTGTATTATAAAAACCTATGCCAACATTAAATGCCCCTCACATTTGCGTTCGTTGACTCAGCATAGCTGTCATGGATCGATTCCAGGATTACTTCGAGGTCATTCTCAGTCAAGGTCAAGTTAGACGAATCAGGTGCCGCCATCTTGAGTGACGCCATCACCACATTTTCAGTGAGATCTGTGCCGCCATGACCGGCCTGGCAAACCGCCACCATCTCGTACGCTCCGAAGAGGAATAAGGGACTAGCACGGAGAAACGCGGCGTCATCGAGTCCGTCGGCAACGTCGATATCGAGAGTAGAAAAGACGTCAGATGTGAAGTCATGTTGACACTAGAAAGGATGGAGGAGATAGAGAGCGAGGGTGTTAGGTTAGCATATTGCTCCGGTTGTCTCAATTTCGCCAGCACAAACGTAGCTGGTTCGCCGACACTACCAAACTAGAATGTTCCACTATGTTGCAGGGTGTATATGCCATTGGGTATGATGTGTGAACAGGGTGTGCGAAAACGGTGTGTTGGAAAGGGGAAGTGAGAGTGTTCATGTGTGTGGTAATTGTATGTGTGTCAACAATTAAAGACTAATAAATGACAGATGCATGGCTAATCATAAATCTACAATGACGAGTAACCTGTCTACGTCACAGTCCATAGATTTTAATGTGCCTTGAACGTATATAACAGACGGCAATCGGCGGAGCAGACGACACTTGATAGTCATTTTGTATGTGGGATTGCTTTGCTAAATATAAAATACAAAAACCTTTTCCATATCTTTAAAGGTAATACAAAGTTTTGGTATGGGGTCATGAATTTGGTTCAAATGAACATATTGGAAGCATATGCGATCCTACAATATTCAGTGATCGTTGTCGTTGAAATCGAGTTTAAAGTAATGAAATTGTAAATAATACACTCTTTTTGTTGTATAGCTCCCTCTCAAGGTCAAGATATTAATTAAGCTATACAACAATGTTTCTTGACTAAAATCGACCAATTTGCTATTCTCGTTTGGAAGTTATATATCACATCTACATATTCTGAGATTGTCATGGTTGCAGCTACCACTGTACGGCTGTAGGCGCTATTTGAAATTTATCAAAATTTACCGGGAGCACCGGTAAATTTTTAAATTCAATTTTTCTCGAAAGCAGAAGTGTTTTAGAGGCTAAATTTTCTAGTGCTTATAATACATCCACAGGGGCATCCAAATCTTTCCAAATTGTAAAGAATCACTATCCACCCAATTTTCAAAATTTCCCAAAACTTTGTATTACCTTTAAACTATCATTGGTATCTGATAATTTAACAATTAGTAAAACAAACATACCAAACTACATAATACAATGAAATACTTGACTGAAAGTCGGGGAGTTTGTTAATAATCGAATAGTCCATGGTGTTCATGAAAATTCATGTTTTTTCTTACCTCGGCAAAATGCTTGCCTATACTAAATGGACAAATTACGGTGGGGGGGGGGGGGTCGGCTTAAATGGACATAATGAACAAATCAGAACTGATCTATGATAATTCATGCTTGTTTTCCTTCGTGTGCTTGATTTATACATTACGAGTGGCAAATTACGTCCAAAGTTCGACTTGTTGCACATATGTTATGTAGGCAATGGCGAGCTGGCGACCTATTTTGACCAAATTACGGTGGGTAAACTTTCAAAAGTCAATGGGACATGAGGGTTCCAATGGAAGAGCTAGTGATAACGGACGTCGAGTTGGATATGCTTTTCGTTTAAACAAAAAATGATTTTTTAACGATTTTGGGGGGGGGGGTAAAAGTCAATAGGCTAACATGTTTATAGGCTGCTGGACTCTGACGATAGGGGGGTTGTCAAATGAGACTAAATGGAGGTATTTGGACTTTCTAAAGATTAACTCAAGGGTAATTTAAGTTCATGTCTTATTGCATATAAAATATTAGCTTTAAATTTCACTTCTGGGTCTCACTAGACGTATTTAGGGGTACCGCGAAAGAAATGAATTACAGATTTGTTGTTGGATCCATTATGAAATGAATGTCAATCTCATGAAAACAAAATATATAAGAATGCTAAGTATTGTCGTGAAGAAATAACATTTTAAAGACAATGCAGTGTCTTTTTTTTTGCTCCTTCGCAACATTTAGAAACGGTATGATTTTAGGCAATAAATACCGAATATAAAAATTTAGAAGTCAACGAGGTTCCAGAATGTCTTCCACATACATAACATCATACAATATCTAGTGTATATGTTTACCAATAGCATTTTAATATATTAGAGATGTCATTGTTTTGTATGGCTCGCTCCGCTCAATCGCAAATTTTAGGGGCAATATGAGTCCGTTCGTGTGTACATGGCACTTGAAGTGTACCAGCGTGATTAAAAATGAAACTCCTTTAATGACTTGGGATTAGGGTGACGCGAAATCATTTATAGGGACTTTTAGATTGAGTGGACGAGAACACGACGAACACCGACTGACCATACGTGTCAACGTACTTAACTGCCCATGTTGACTACAATTAGAAATGTTTTAAATTGCACTTGACGATAAAAATGCATGGGGGAAGTAACACTAAGAACATCACGGACAAAGAAAGAGGACAAAATATACAGTTCCTCATTCTACCCTCAACAAAAGAACATTCCTTCACTGCTATTATGTAAAAATGTGTTTAACAGGTGAACATGCATGTGACACCTGTTCTACACATTTTTACATAATAGCAGGGAAGGGATCTTCCTTTGTCTACCTGAGGAACTGTATAATTTATGCGCACGCGGCATACTAGTACATTGAGCATGTAAAGGCGCTATATAAATGTACTAGATTTGGAAAATCAAGGTTGACGCATTTCTCGATCGCCGACTGAGACGACGTAACGCATGCGCAGTGCCTTAAAATGACGTCACACGTTGCAGTCAAAGCTGTCGACGTGCAAATCTAAAAGTCCCTTATATCTCTAAAGGACGCCGCGACAAGAAAAGGGTTGGAAAGTAGCTCTCCTAAATAAGTCATGTTCGGAGCAAGAATTATAACATCAGCACATTTCAAAATGATGCATAAAGATAACATTATATTGAAACTGTCTAGGAGGCTGTTCACACCGCAATGAGATAGCGCGGTCTATTGTACGTAGCACCCCCTTTTTTCTAGCGCGCGCTAGACCGCGCTCTCTCTCTCGTGGACCATCCCCAAGAGGTGCTCCAGTGGCACGCCGTTTTGGCTCGCCGTGGCTCGCTGTTGGGCGGACCGAAACGACGTTGTACCTTCCACACCGCAGAGATAGCGCGGTCTGCCGGTGTGAACAGCCTCTAGTGTTGATTAAACCAAAAAGTGCGATATGCATACGAACCAAATTGAAAAGAATGACAGGTTTTGTAATTGTCCTATTGTTGTTTTCCCGCCAGAAAGGGAATGACAAATCCTCTGTAAACACACAACGACCCTCGCACGAGCGCACACCCGAACCGATCGCACGCAACCCATCTTCCCAAGCACGCTCTTCGACGCATGTATTCATACAATGATTTACACGAGTGATTCGGTATTATGAAATGCAGTACAAATACATCAACACTTTGTAATATATTGACCAAAAACTAAACCGCAGTGATCATGCATAATACATCAAATTTGACGGCAATAAACAGAAATTGGTCGGTATTTTTTTCGCGTATGTTTAAAGAGACACACACAAGATTTACAGGATTTTTGATTTTTGATTTGTTAACGATGTCTGCGTACAGGTAGATGCGTCATGTCTAACGGCGGCTATGTCACTGGACCATGGATAGTGGTTCTCAGTTTTAAACCATTTCATTCACCTGCTATTATCCTTGGTACCACAATTGCCAGAACGCAAATTGCATAAATAATTGCTGCTCTCCTAGAATGCAGGTTTCTCAATCATGAAAATGATTTGTCAGCTGCTCCATTCTAGTATTTTTAAATGAATCTTCTCAGCTATGATTTTTTTTTTCTCATTGAATTTTTGTTTTGTTTTTGGAAAAGTCTTTCCAACGAAAGTCTGGTGCATGATACAACTACAACCTCACCTGATACGTCATATTTTCAAGTAGATGGCTGAGTCTATGCTATGCTAAAAGGCATTCCATCATGCCAATAATATCTTCATTAATATATCTCTTGTACATTTTTATAACGAAAATTGTACATCGAAGGGCATGAATACATCTCATTTTTTTAGAATACCTATGCAATTATGCTTCGGGGTAAAGTTTCCTTTAATATACTTAGATAGCAATTTAATGATTGTTAAGCGTGTATCATGGCGGCTATTAGTATTAGTCGATTCGACTGATATGATACTGTGTATTTAGCGTAGTAGATATAAATGGGCAAATTATTATCCAATCAATAAACTAAAGTTCTGTGATAACGAAATAGTTGTCTACATAATCAATAATTGATTTTTTTAGGAATAAACAAAGATCATCAGTTTCAAAAAAGGGTTTGTATTTTGTCCCCTTCCCAAGAGTTTGACCAAGAGCAGTTCATAGATCATTTAAAATCAAGTATTGTGAGCATGGGTAGGCCTTTATACTGACCGCAGAAAACTTTCTTGATGTAATCAATTTTATTATAAGACCGGTTAACAAACATATTCACATTGAATGCATGTTTCTTTCTTGGTTGCCTAGTTACGATGTATTCCATTAACATGTTTTTCATGAATGAACTACAATACTTGGAATCTAGTCTGCATACATTATTTGTTGCCATGTCGGGTAATCATCCGACGAATTTTCGAGTTGTCAAGAACAACTCTTCTCTAAACAGCATGTATACAAATTGAATATATTAATCAACCAGTCTACTGAAGTAAAATATTATAAGTGATTAGTAATATATTTTGTTGGAAACACTGAGAAATAAAATGAAAAAATTCATAAGTGAATCGAAAAAAAAAATGCATCTAGCATTTTGTTCAAATGGTTGGAGGGGGTTGGGTTTGGGGGGGGGTGCGGTGGAGGGGCACCATTCTGAAAAATCTCAGATGAGCAAGTTTATACGAGTAGAAGAAAAATACAAAACATATTAAGACAAGGGATGGAAGAAGTTAATATAATTATTTGCTTTTGCCTTTTGGGATCTATTCATAGGGTAAAGCATCGGGGGAGGGGGGGGGGCTCAGACACACAAAAACACAGCCACCATGACAAAAGGGGCATTTTTTCCAGGGGTTTTAAAAGGCGGTTGTGCCCTTTTAAATCCAGCTATGTGTTGCGGGCCATATTCTCAATTGTTGATCTTTACTATCAAAATCAATACATTAAGGGGACTTGCCAGAAAGTAATTGTAAAAAAGGTTA